CTCAGGCCTTTCCACCTTGACATCCTGCGTCTTGACGATCTGCAGCTTGACATCGTCGCCGCTGTTGGCAGTTCCAGCCTCAGGATCAAGCGTAGCGCGGTCGGAGGAGCTCCCCGTCCTATACGCTTTGCCACTGCGCTTCCCAGAGCTTCCTTCGTCGGAGATGATTCGTTCGAACTTGGATTGCAGGGAGGGGTAGTAGCGGATGAGGACGGCTTTGATGGAGGGCGCGCATGCGACGATGACGGCGAGGTGGTTTTCGATGACAGCGCAGATCATGGATGCGGCGTAGCGGAATGGGAAGTCACCATGTGTGGCGAGCTGGTCGACAAAGAAAATGCGTGCGGCAGATGCGCCTAGCACGAGACCGCCCATGGCGAAGAGGATGTTAACGGCGATGCGGTGGTGTCGTCTCAGCTTGATGTTCCAGGTGAAGATGACGGGCATGATGTACAGGACCAGGTCGCAAGCTAACATGAAAACGCTGTTGAAGTAGGAGAAGTTGAAGAGGTTGATGCAGTAGCCCTCGATGGTCGGGTCCCACCACTTTGCTACAGGGATGCACATGAAGATGCTGGTAACGACGCAGGTGAGACCGAAAGAGAAGGCGATGACATGCATGGCGTAGATCCATCGACGGGCCCATGGTTCAAAGGTGAGCTCTGCGTAGAAGAACAGTAGCGAGTGCTTGACGGCCCAGTTTACAAGGAAGTAAAAGATAAGGGCTGTCATGACCAACTAGTGAGTGTGGGGTTAGTAGGTGTATTGTGGTGAATGCTAAGCAGAGGGTAACGAACCTTCATCAGCATCTCCATGTTATTTGGGTCGATCTCTTTCTCATGCAGACCAGCTCCGAGGCGCGTCGCGTACATTTGGACGATGGACAGGACGATGGCACAAGAGGCCGCAAAGGTAGCAAGTGCTTCAAGTTGGTCAGTATGCTGAAACGGTGGCTGAACAAGACAGATTTGAACTGAGCTTACCATCATGCCAGCCAAAACTGCTCAGTATCCGCAGTTTCCTTCCGATACGACAGCTGATAGCAAGGGAAGTCAAGCAGATCAGCGTCAAGTTGACACTGATAGTGGTGGCACGTAGGTCGGACATGATCAAAAGATTGAACGGAGAACGAGATCGAGATCCAATGTCCAGTGATGGAGAAGGATTGTGTGCCTTGCATGCCCCTACATATAAGATGTTAATCTATAAGACGTGGCTTGTAGTTTGTTTGTCCGAGTATGCGCGGCACCAAAAATGATGAACGGTCTACGGGGTCTAACGTTAGCTGCCCCGCGTTGGCCACGCAGAAATCCATGCCATTACAGTGATTCTGCAATACTCTTTTCGTCTACTTGCAGTAAAGACTGTCAAGGGACTGTCGCGGCAGTCGGCTTAGCGCCCAGTGCGTGTGGCACCTGTTAGACTAGAAAGAAAGAACTGATGTGATGAAGAAACATGATTGGGTAGATAGCGCCTCCTTAGACTAAGCGAGCTGTAGTTATCAACGCCGAGTATACGGGTTTGCTTTGTGATATTTGTTTTCGAGGTTAGGGTTCACGCTAGACGCAGCGGGGTCTTGTCGACATTGAAAAAGAAAGACGACGTCGGTATACACGTTTCTTCCACGCGAGTGGTAAGCGAGACTACCAGATTAGCGAAGGGTCTCATAGGCTGAGGAATTGACCCCGCTTTACCCTTGACTCAACAACATCGCATTCAGATACTGATGCTTTCGTTTTGTGATGCTGCTTTTTCTGTCAAGACCCTGTTGGCAACTTGGTTTTGCTGGAATACGAGGGGAAGTCCGCTGTAAACGGATATGTATGTCAGTGGCGCGGGAATCCACGATTGCATTATCGCCAACGTTATGTGCTCCGCGGTGTTTGTTGTCTTGAAATCGCGTGTATCACATCAACTCTGTCCGAGCTGAAAGAGCCACCTGGAGATGTCGCCACCTCAACGCACATTGTGTTTGCTGTCGATCAGCGACGGTGCGAGATACTCCGAAGAGCAATGGCGACAACAATAGACAAAAGTAACATTCCAATGTAAAAGGGCCGATGAGCAGGTGGAGGTTGAGAAGGCAGGTGGGTAGACAGACGGCAAGAGGCGGGAAATTATGAACAGCCACATCGTCATAAAAAGGCGTGGGCCCCGCCCAGTTCTCGCAACTCGAAACATGGGCATCATGTTATCGTCGAGGAATCTGAGGATCGCATGCGCTCGATGCGCGACTGCTCTTCGGGTGGGTACGTTGGCGATGCATCATGTGATGAGCTCGATGAGCTTGAGGCACAAGGCCTTCGAAGCCCGACTCTCGACCTCGGGGCTGACTAACACTCTCCGACGCTAACCTCATTTGATTCTCAGTAATTCCGTGCTTCTCATTCGTCGCCGGAGATGGCTCGGCATCGATTTGCAGCTCGTATGCGCATAGTGTCGCCGCGTCTTGTGTATATTGCGGAGACTGTAAGAATTGGGCTATTCGATTCTTTCCTTGCACTCCGATTCTCTTGTCTTACACTCCGCGTCGCTATTTACTCCGCTCTTCCCATACTCATAGTGCGCTGGCCATAGTCGGAGTGAAACTTTGACGCCTCGGCTGTCCGCATTTACTACGAACGCCACCTTTGCCCGATAGAGACCAAACCAACGTCAGCGACATCTCACTTTCTTTGCACAAACGAGGACTCAAATTCCTAGACACCTCGAGCTCACCCACGAATTAACACGACCTCATTCCCGAAATGTCGTTCTCCTCGCTCGTCTCAGACATTGCCTACCGGAACTCGGAACGGCCAGAGCGACCGGACCTGCGCTCTCAGATATCGGAAGCACGCTCGACCCGATCCTATGCCAGCACTGCCGCCACCAGCGTGAGCATATCGGGGGACATCAAGAGTCAATTGCACGGAGGATATAGCCATCCACTATCGCGGGCATGGCAGGCCGAGCGACAGCTCACAAAGGTGCGTGGGAAATGACGTCGTGTGCCTGGTCACAGACACTCACATTTGGCACACAGTCTATGCTCATCTACCCCCTCTTCGTGTCCGACCAGCCTGACGAAGAGACGCTCATTCCCTCGCTGCCAAACATCCACCGCCGCGGCCTGAACAAAGTCGTGCCATACCTCACCCCGCTCGTCGCAAAAGGCCTCAAATCGGTCATTCTCTTCGGAGTTCCGCTCGCACCCACGGCAAAAGACGCCCTAGGCTCCAACGCAGACGACCCCAAGGGCCCCGTCATCAAAGCCATCCGCCTGCTTCGACGAGCATTCCCCGATCTCTTCATTGTCGCCGACGTCTGCCTCTGCGAATACACCTCACACGGCCACTGCGGCATCCTCCGCGACGATGGCAGTCTGAACAACGCTTTGTCGGTAGAGCGCATCGCCGATGTAGCGCTCTCGTATGCCAATGCCGGCGCGCATTGCGTTGCACCTTCAGACATGAACGACGGTCGCATACGCGCTATCAAGCTGAGGCTCATCGAGGCTGGCATTGCACACCAGGTCGTGCTCATGTCCTACGCGGCCAAGTTCTCAGGCTGTCTGTACGGTCCTTTCCGCGACGCTGCGGGCTCAGTACCCTCATTTGGCGACCGGAGATGCTACCAGCTGCCACCCGGCGGTCGCGGTCTGGCACGACGAGCTATCACCAGAGACATAGGCGAGGGCGCAGACATCATCATGGTCAAGCCTGCGAGTCAGTATCTGGACATCATCAGCGACGCCAAGGAGATTGGCAAGGACATGCCCATCGCTGCGTACCAGGTGTCTGGCGAATATGCCATGATCCACGCTGCAGCTGCGGCTGGTGTGTTTGACTTGAGGCAGATGGCGGAAGAGGCTACACAGGGTATTCTGAGAGCGGGTGCAAGTATTATTGTGAGCTACTTCACGCCCGAGTTCCTCGACTGGTTAGGCAACTAGGGCTTGACGATTGTTACGGCACAAGAAAGAAAGGGCGTAGGGGCGTTTGATATCCAAAGGGCATGGACATGTCTGAAATGCAAATCTCACCACCACTTCTGCTCGAATTCTACTAATCGTGTCGTTTCGCAAGTCGCGAACGGAGAATGTAGTTTTCAGTCTCGCTCGTAACATTGTATAGTGCCAAGATCGTGTAGGGGAATAAGCTAGCTGGAGTGCTGACGGCGGGATTCTGGTGCGCCACAGCCTTCGCCACGTCATCTAGGCATGGACGAACAGCATTTGCAGTGCTGCGGCTTCGCTGCCTCGCTAAACCACTATGCGCCAACGGTCTTCGATTCGCCGGCTAGTCCGCAATTCACTGCCGGCGTCACCGAGTTCACCAATATTGGAGCTGTATTCGCAGCAGTACGTATCGCAGCCACTTTGCTGCATCGCGACCACTTGCCTGCGCCCTTTGAGCGAAATTTATGCGCAAAAGAATATAGACTATCTCCCTAGACTGCGCGCTGGTCCGCCTTGCTCGCAGCCGCACTGCTGGCGCGCTCGCTAACACCCTCATTCGACGCTCCTCCACTACAGCACTATAGTTTCATGCGAGTCTCCACCTTACTGGATGCACCATGCAGGTGACCACTTCGACTCATCCTTCCTAACAGAGTCTCCGAGAGGCTGATACCATGTAGGATGGTAGCTGATTGCCTTCCGCGCTTGCGCACATTGGATCGATTGCGATAATCATGCACAGCCACTTCTTAGCCTAGGCTGCCGTCCCACCGCCCTTTTCCTCAACACCACCTTATGACGAGGGTTGGTATTAGGTAAATCAACATATACCAGGTATTCTGGTAGGGGTGCCTGATTATCTTGCATTGAAGATAAATAAGCATGTTTCGCATTGTGTGGCTGGACTACTATCACTTCCCACCAAGTCAAGTCACCTGTCGGAGTTCCACGTTTGGTCGAGACACCGTCTTACGGCAACGGACGCTCCGTATACCCTTTGTCTCCTACTTATCTATCGTTGTACCTCGATTCGGAAGACGGCTCCGATTCGGTATTAATCATGGAGAACCTGAAGGACTCGCTACCTCCAGGCATGGCAGATGCGGCTATCAACATTCCAGGCGTTGGCGCTATACTGCAGCTTCTCCTTAACAAACTCGGTTTCGATGTCGGAAGCACAATGTCTTTATATCTTTTACTTTTCGGTCTATTCCAAGGTGCGCTGTTCATGTACACTCAGGGACGTGGATTTATATTGTAAGTTGCCCACACGTTCAATTCACCAAACAATCACCAACTAATTCTCCATATAGAGGGCACGGTACCTCAGCAATAAGGATAGACGATGATGATGACTTATACCCCCAATTTATATCCTGGATATCAGAACACCGCATGACAGAAGTCAGCCGAGATCTAAAAGCCACATCCAAAAAGCCCAGAGCACGAGGCGACGAAATAGACAACGACAATGCCTCAGAGGCAGATTTTGAGGACGTCTTGGACGACTCTGGCATTTTTAATTACGAAAAGTACAAGGGTACTAGTCCAACGTACTACGAACCCAACATGGGTGACGACAGCTTCACCCACAACGGTCATTACTTCCAGTTCAGCAAGGACTGTCAGGAGAATAAGTACCAAGAGCGCATTGAGTACTTCCTCATCATTCGTTGTATGGGCCGTAGCACGAAGCCGGTCAAGGACCTAATAGACCATGTTAAGGAGTGGTCGGCGCACAAGCCTAACAAGACGACTGAGATCATGCGCGCTGAGATAAAACATGGTGGGTATTGGCACGTTCAGTCGAATCGCCCTTCACGACCGATTAGCACAGTGACGCTGGATGAAGCGCAGAAGAACAAGGTCGTTGCGGATATCAATGAGTACCTTCACCCAGCTACTGCTCGGTGGTATGCTGCACGCGGTATTCCGCACCGCAGAGGATACCTTTTTCATGGTCCTCCTGGTACCGGTAAGACGTCGTTGAGCTTTGCCGTGGCTGGCATCTTTGGACTGAGCGTATATTGCGCTTCGCTGAGTGAGCGAGATATGAGCGAGTCGGATCTTGCGTCGCTATTCGGGCAGCTACCGAATCGCTGTATCGTCTTGTTGGAGGATATTGACAGCGCAGGTATCCGGCGAGATAAATCCTCTGTAATTCCAGAACAAGAGCATGACTCTGCCGTTAACGAGTCCGACAAGTCGTCTGCTCCAGCGCCAACAGAGAAGGTGACAGAAGAGAAGGAAGACAACAACGACAACAAATCCGAAAACAAATCCGAAGAGAAGCAGCATGATAGCGTTGAAATGGAGAAGAAAAAGTCCACCCGCAGACGCATAACGCACTCACTCCATCCCCGCAAATCTTCCAGCAAACCCAACAGCGAGACTACTACCCTTGCCACCACAGCCTCGTCACCAGCCTCCGCACCCCCATCCGTCCTCACACCCGCACCCAGCATAAAAGAAGTCGCCACCAGCACCAAACCAACTTCCACGCCAACTCCTCCTCCTCCTCCTCCGCCACCCATCGACGAAGAAGGCAGCAAGAGCAAAATCTCACTTGCAGGCCTCCTCAACATCATTGACGGCGCCGCGTCGAGCGAAGGCCGCGTCCTCATCATGACGACGAACTACCCCGAGAAACTCGATTCAGCGCTCATACGCCCTGGGCGCGTGGATCTGCAAATCAAATTCACACTAGCGACGAGGACGCAAGTGGAAGAAATCTTCAGACGCATGTATAGTGATGAGGCGGATGGTAAGAAGTGTGATGGTAGTGATGGAGGAGAAAAGAAATACGCACCAGAAAAGAAGGGTAGTAGTAGTAATGATAAGAGGAAGGAGGAGGCTAGGTGGGGGGCCACAGGTAACAAGTCGCCAAACTTTGCGACGTTGCCGCCAGATCAACTTACGGAAATGGCGAGGCAGTTTGCTGATGCGCTGCCTGAGGCTGTCTTTTCGCCGGCTGAGATTCAGGGGTATTTGTTGCAGAAGAAGAGTGATCCGCAGGGTGCGTTGGATGGGGTGGGGGAGTGGAGGGATGCGGTGCTTGAGGCGAAGAAGAAGGGGAAGAAGGTTATTGAGTTGAAGTGAGTGGGTATCTCGATAAGTGCATGAGGTACTGGTGTTCTAGCGTTGGTTGGTCTTGACTTTGTCGGCGTTATTCTTTCCATGCATGTGGCTATAGGCCTGGTGTCAGGTCTAGTCTGGCAATGGTTTAGGCAAAAAGTTGGGCCAAGAAACATATAACTGCTTGTATACGGCCGAGTGGACGGGAAGCCCAAGGTTCGGGCATGTTGGCGAGCGGCATTGTAATATTCTCACTAAGCTGGATCTGGCAGCGCATACGCGCCATGACCAATGACCCCACCCATAAAGGCTTCTAGGGCGTGTCGTTGAATCCGTCTCTAACATCATTGTACTACATGTATCAATTCCATAGATATTTCCGAAGCCTTCTAGACCTCACGTCTGTGATGTCGCAGCACTTAGCTGTGTCAGCCTTCCCACAGCCCGAGCGCAGCCTTGCTGCGGGGTAGATCTACAACGGTTGGCTATATACCACGGCCCCCTTTGAGGCACCCAGGCTGTGGATGCCGCTTACCTCGTTCGATAAGACTGCAGGTACGTATGCAGGGTCGCTGCCTACGTCCTCCTCGTTGGTGGTGAGACTGCGCACTGCTCATATGGGCCTTTCCCCCTCGTTTTCTTAGCGATGAAGCTGACAAGACTTAGGTTTAATCCTTTGCTCAACATCCGCTTTCTAGCCTCATACACCTGCAAGACTCTCACTCATTATGGACGCAAACACATCGGAAAACAATACACGAGTTCAGCGATCACAGTCCTCCATTGCGCTTGGCAAGCGGCCAGTACATGACCCACCACATCCCGACATCTCAAAACCCGCAGACTCCGACAATAACGACGACAACACCGACGAACGTGCGCGAAACGCCGCTGAGATACAAAACCTTTGCTATGATCCACTTGAAGGTTCTAACATCCGATTGATTACTATAGATCCTGCGTTGCAGGACGGAAAGGTCAAACTTGCTATGGAACAAGTGCCGCTTACTAAAGGGCTTGACTTCCATATGCTTTCATACGTCTGGGGGGATGGGACAGACAAGCATACCATCGTTGTGAATGGCCAACGATTGGATGTAACACAGAACCTTTACGACTTTTTAGAAACAACGCGCCAATACGAGCCGGACTTCCTGTCACATCATGAGCATTCAGATTACAAAACACTCTACAATACAGGAAATGCTCGAACGGTCACCGAATCATCCAGAGGCAAAGCGACCGGTCCCGCTACCATGCCAATGCGATTCTGGGTTGACGCTATTTGCATCAACCAGAATGATCTGAATGAGAGGAACAAGCAGGTACCTCGGATGGGCGATATATATTCGATGGCGAGCCGGGTATGGATTTGGATAGGCTTTGCATCGAAGGTCTTCAGCGAAGATGGTGATTTAGAGGTGTTCAAGCGAGGCTTGGACTATTGTGTACAAGATTCCTTCAAGGATCTCGCCACACTCGGAACGACGAGACCTCCAAACACGCCTCTGATAGAGCAGTTCGCTGATCATCATCGTCAACTGGTTATGGAGAGGACGATGGCCCGAATGCGAGCGATGGGGTTTGTGCTTGAGCCTGGCCCTAAGATGGACATGATGTACCAGAAGTATACACAATTCTCTGGTCAATTCTCATCACAACACATGCATGCGCCTTTTAATATGTTCTTGCGACAGCTAGCAAGTCTTCTCAGTCAGCCTTATCTCAAAAGAGTTTGGATCATACAGGAGTACGTTTTGAATCCCAGAGCACCAATCGCACTTCTGGGGAATTTCGTGTTAGACTTGCAGCATGTTATGGCTACAATGATGCGGTTGTCGCGGGAAGTTCAGTTAATGAACGAGCACTCGAAAGCCCTCGTCTTTGCCGCTGTCGGCCAAATGGCAAACCTGATGACTTTGGATCGGGTAAGGATGGAATGGCACGGTTCATCATACATTGGCAACACCTTGGAAGGCTTGACGCGCCTATCACCAGGCGAGCGACTGAGCCATCTTCTACAGCAACTGTCCAATACGCAGTGCACCAATCCAGTAGACCGATTCTACGGCATCTTGGGCTTCTTCTGCCACCACGACCTGCCTAGATCACTAGTCCCTGACTACAGCTTACCGGTTGAGCAAGTAGCCCAGGCATACACGCGATACATCATCGACAGCACCGGGGATCTGGAGATAATTGAATCCAGTATGGGTTATGAATCTGCAGATTGTCCTAGCTGGGTAGCCCACCCAACAAGTCTTATAGGTCAGACGAGCACACATATCACTGTTTCTAAGGGCAACAAAACACTCTACTTTTCCGAAGATGGCCGTTGCCTTACGTTAGAGGGAACATTCCTTGGACAGATTGTCAAGTGTAGCTGCACAGATCGTCCAGGCGAAACTATGGGCGAACATCTTAAGTACTTGGACGAGGAGTTGTTCGAAACAGCGTCTCAAATTACCGGCAAGCCCAAGAGCGAAATCTTCAAGTTCTGGTTGAATGAGCAAGTAGATTTCCAGAAGGGCATGCTTCCCTCCGACTTCAAGAGTTTTGACAGCATGCAAGACCTTCTTCGACGCTACCAGGATATCTGTAAAGATATCCCCCCGGAAGCCCTCGATGGTTCCAACCGCATGAGTAGCATGCAAAAGCACATCATCTTCAAGACCCCCTGCCGCGACCCTAAGTTCTTGTACGCTGTACTTCGTCTAGCGGAAGCGAGATTCTGCCTTCTCTCCACAGGGCAAATCTTGGTGTGCCTCTTGAAGCATACAGAGACTAGTTATATGAGCCGGACACATGGAAAAAATGACGGTGCCTGGGCATTGAAAGGTTTGTGCAACCCTGCTATCCTACGGCCGAAAGGTGAAGCGTATGAGTACTGTGGACCATTGCTCTCATGTTATTCATTAATGAAAGATCGGAGGGATAAAAGGGAGGAGCATGATTTTTTTCTTGACGATGAGTTCTTTGCGGCGAGGAAAGTGCAGCAGGTGACATTAGTCTAGAAAACAAATCCCGATTCATTGCTTTGGATGAAGGTCAGGCCGACCATTGAAAAGTGCGCCACCAAATGCTCTGAATGCAGCTCGTGCTCTTCATTTTTCGTTATATCCACGTTCGTCATTACAGTTGGAACAACAATGGCTGTTTTCACGAAGCAGCGCTGCTAACGATCGATTCTTCATCGTCGGACCCTGATGCGGTATATGCGTGGCTTAAGCAAAGACGAATTCTACCGGACAGAGCAAAAATTGGTGATTTTGTTGACTTTTACTCAGCAATACTATCAATACAGCAACCTCTTTTCGAACTTCCTTAACGTTTCACCTCTGCTGACAAAAAGATCGCCCATGCAAGGATGCAAAAACATACAACAGCGGGGATTCGCTAGTGGTCACCCACCTAACTACTAATCCGCCGGTACACTGCTTGTATATGGCTGAGCGGACGGGAAGCCTAATTTTCAGTGTCCTATGGTCGTATGTGAAAGATACGCCGCAAAAATAACATTATAACCCCTATTTTACGGGATGAGACATCTTAGGCGGGCACAATCGCACAGCGGTTCATCGACATGTGTTTGTGACACACATATATTCTGGAATGCAAGCGTGCAACTGCTGCAATACTTGACTACAAGCCTCTCAGCGATGTAGTTTTAAACCATCAGGGTCTGGCAGTAGCTTTGGTGGGGACCTGGCGATGGTGCCTGGGGGCAGGTGGGGTAGAGATAACGTAGCTGCTTCTGGCTAGTACGGTACACGACAATCTCACGTAGCAAACAAACAACTTCGGGACCGCACAAGCACAGTCTCTCACTTGTACTATATAGAGGAGCACTCATTAGTATACTGCGTCCTATATAGCTCCGATCAACTGTTAATCCGTACACGTCAAGCCGACTGCTAGCAAGATGAATACGGATACCGACTCACGCCTGTGCCCTACTTGGGTCTTTCTGAGCAATGCCAACATACAGTGAGTGCGCCGCGACTGAGCGAAGTCTTTATTATTGACACTGCATTACCAGCATTGCGAAGGATCGAGGCTGGTTCAAGACGTACACACCCTTCACATCTATAGTTGATCCCTCGCCCTTCTTCAACCCGGGCAACTACATTCCAGTGCTAGGAATAGGCACCGTCGAGATCCCCACAAAGCGCTCGCCCAATACTTCAGGCGTGTCTTCGCACGCATCTCTCCTTCTCCACGAAGTCCTGCACGTGCCTGATTTTCTCTGCAACGTCATTGGGCAACCACTTTGGTTAACAGACGGATACAATCCTATAATCAAATCTGGTACAAAGTCTCGAGGAACTATAAAAGATAGTCAAGGCAAGAATGTTGCCTATTTCCACCCCGGAAGTCCGCTGCTTGCAATCAAAGTGCGCTCTCCACTAGACTGGCCAAAGCTCGGTCCGCACGCTCTGAAGAAGGACGGCCTATATGTGCTAGGCTGTCAATGGGATGCTTCCGAAAAGCAAAAGTGGCGAGAATTTCAAGCTGCTAATGGAATGTTCACGGCGCAAAACGTTGCACCCTACACGGCCGAGGAAACTGCGTTTCTGAAGAAGAATTATCGCTCTGAATTCCACTTTCTAATGCAGCATGGGCTCAAAATCTTTTCTGATGAAGATCGCCAAGAAGGACAGGCTATTCTACGTGCCATTATGCAAGAGTCCGAGGAGGAAGATCCCGACGACAACGAGGATGGTTTTGACGAATCAGAGTTCGAGGGCCACCAGGCAGACTACAACTTCACGGAACGTCAGCTTGATTGGATTGAAAAGAACTTCCGCAATTCGGAGCAGTTTATGTACTCTTATGGACTCAAGTTTTATAACGATGATGATCTCGAGGAGGCTAAGGTGATTGCGGAGGCTTTGATGGATAGCGATGATTGGAGATTCTTGGAATCGCCGCTCGAATTTTTGGAGGGACGGAGATTGAAGCTACAATTTGTGTTAGCCGAAGTCTAGTTTCTCGGTTAGTACGTACGAGTCAGACATCCATGCCTGTCGCCTGTAACTAACTCCGCGCCACTGTCCCCTCAGCCTCAGCCGGTTTGCGTTCGTTTCTTCGTGGCTAACAGTTACCCTATCTGAAATCATATCCGTCTCCTCATTGCCCACCGTTCATCGTGATAGCTACTTCTGAAGCACCTCGCAGGCTCTTGTGTTGACTCACCGTCTCCTCGCCCCTGTCGCAACCCGTCCTATATGACTACTCCCGCACCACCATTCTCAGTCTCCCACTCTTCCCCTCAAGACTAACACCCGTGCTCTTCGCGATCTCACTCATCTCTTCCTTTCCTTTCGGCCGATCGCGCTCTACGTCCACCTCGCAGAACAGTGTCGCAAGTACCGAGCTCTTCCACAGTCTATCACTCTCAACCTTCCAGTTGTCGATGATGACAAGCAGTAAAAACAGTCCTGTGAGGGCGATCATAACGACGGGGAATGCGATCCACTCCCATCTCACGTACACACAAGTCGTGTTTGCCCACATGTAGCCTCTCGCCCATCCCTCTTCTCCTTCTGCGCCGTGGGTCCGTATGAAAGCCGTCATGGCGCGCGTCATGTTTCTGAAAGATTCGTCTATAGATGCAATGGACGTCTGACCCTTTATTGGCGGACCCGTCATGTTCTCTCTCCCCTCCGGGTCCTGTCGCCACAATGCGCGCAAGTATGCGTTTCCCTCAATAAGCGAAAGTCCATTAGACTTGAGAATCTGCTCGTGGAACATAGTGTCAAAGTGCCTTCGCAATCCCCAAGCCGCCGGTTGGCTCATGGTCCACAGGCAGTCTTTGGGGTAATACCACTGTGTGCTTGTTCTGTGGATTTTTCCCTCTTCGTCCCACTCTTCTGTCTTGACTTTGTAGTGCTTGACAAGTTCGGGTGCGGGATCCGCGGAGCCAGCACACGGCTCCTTGATGCCATCTCGCATGGTGTAGTCAGTTGCCAACGCAAACAAATTAGGTCGCCATTCTAGTCCCTCTTCTTCACCACCAGCTAAATTCGTAGTTATATCAGGATAGTCGAAGTCAAGCGGAATACTTTCCAACAACGTCTCTTCCAGGCGCGTATTTGCAACTTTGACGCTGTACGTGTTAACCGTGGGAAAAAGGGTACAGTTGACAGCCCTGGAATCGTTTGAGGCAAAACGTTCTCTGAATAGTAAAGTGATGGTGTGCAACGGGAAAAGGTCGTGGCCACGATATTTAGTGGCGTGAGTTGATGTTGTCATGACGGAGAAGTCTGAGTAATTACGATGGTCCGAGTAATTAAGACGGGTTGGTGCTCCCTCAGGTGTTGTCAGCACCGTGCTTGTATGTGAGTAGTTAGTGTACTGCCGAATGAGTCCGCTGATATCTTCGCATATGTGGCTTATTGCTACTGTTGAGAACGATGCTCCGTCACTGGACGGAAATGTGCAGTTACCACTGTCGCATCCACGGGCGAAGACGTTGGTAAAGTCTTCTATGGGCTGGATAAGACCAACAGTCGTAGCAGCCACCATTGGTGCATATTCTGCCCACAACATCCAATTTCCTCCGGTTCCCGGCCCTAGAATCCCCCCTGCGGCAGTGTAGTTGTTTGTCCTTGCCAGACGTACGATTGCCGTATCAGTGCGCTGCGCACAGTCTTCGAACAGCAGAAGCTGTTGTGAGAAGAAGCCAGTTAGAGCCGTCATTACTGTTGCCAATGCACCTAAAGACGCCATGTAGCTTGAGAGAATAAGTTTAAGCTGTAATATGAAGAGAGAACGCTTACTATGCTCTTCTCGGCCTCATGTGGCATAGTAACAAGAACGACCCCCAAGGTCCACGGCTAGCTGCGTCGAAATGCTGCTAATGTCAGCGCGAGGTCAAATTCAACCAGCAAGCTACTCTGGTGACAGTTCTACTGAAACACCACTCTGGATAGCTTCGGAGGTAACGTTACCTGCGTTGAGTCAGTAAGAGAGCACAGTCAAATTGTGTGGATCCTTATGGACTAACCTTAATGTCACCCAATGTTCGCGTCTTGCGATACCACTTCCATCTCGATTGACTGATGCCTTTCAATCCTTAGTAAAACACATTCCGAAGCGGTTTATCGGAGGAATCATGGCCTACCTTCAGCCAAAATCACACTCACACCCGTTCTCATAATCAATGAAAAGAGAGACAGAACAGAATTGATCGTGATGAGCTGAGGCCACTTCGGCAAAGGTTTGCCTTGATGGGTGGAGAGTGTTGCAACAAGACCAGCGAGCGTAAGAACAGAGAATATGAAGCTGAAAGTTTCCACTGTCCAACTCTTCTTCCATGATCTTCGGATTGCATGCGTGGACCTTTTGTAGCCCGCCTTTATCCCAGTCGCAAGCTTGATGAAGGAATGGGCAAAGTGTGACCATCGTCTCCGCCATGGTTTCCGATCTTTGCAAGACGGCCTCTCTGGTTCGGGTGCCTCCTGTAGGCTTGCAGCGTATGTGTTCGCGTTGTGCGAGATGGATGTCGCGGCTCCCTGGTGTACTCTTGAGGTCAATAACGGCGCTGACGATTCGAGCTGTACCATCGTGAGTTTAAGAAAGTGTAGAGGAGCTGAAGGGAAACACTTACGGCGCCAGTACAATAACATATACAGGACTTTAACTCCCAGAGATCGTACTGGACCCCACGTACAGGATTTCGCCCCGAGGTACTCGTGTAACAAGCCAAGAGTTACTGCACGTTCATTCGTCTTTCGGAACGCTTGGGACGACCCAAGCGCTACCAACCGTCTCTCAACGGTGTAGCAAGACTGAGCTTGCTGCAAACCCACACGCTTCTTGTTGTACCTCTCGGCATAGGGGCGAAACATACACAAGTCTGGAACCAGATCCGCGCGGATACTAGGTACTCAGCCTCATGGCGCATATCATGGAAGATCACTTTCGATAGTAGCAGCATGATGAAGAAGCCTGGCGAACCTCGCAGTCAATTCTGCAGCCTATCTAGCCGTTTCTTTCGATAGATCTACATGGTGCGTTCGCAGTCACTGAGTGAAGTAGCTGATGATTGGTAGGGTGCGGTTGATGGACGTTCCGGTGAGGCGGAGATAGACGAAGCTAACGTCGCGATCGGTATCTCCACATGCAAGCATATATCCATATTGGTTGTCGAATCCATTTTGGGGTGTAGTGCTTAGCGAAACTGGTTTCTCTTTGAACACAGCCACAAAAAATGTGAGCGCTGCTTCCTTCGCCGAATGGTATTTTGAGTCAATTTCAGATAAGCCAGCAATGGATCTGAACCGATTATTTCCATGTGAATCTTATGTTACTATATATCCGTCTAGCTAGATTCAGAATATAGTCATCATCATCCAATATTCGAGCTCCATCGACCTCTGGTCCGCAGCCATGCTCCATACTGGTAAAACACAAAGGGGATGGGAATCATCAAGACTGCAAACCCGGCGAAACAACTGCTTGCCGGTCCAGTGCCCAAATTTCCATACAGTGGAATGACAACGGCCGGGAAGCAGGACGCCAGAATACTCCGAAGAAAAGTATTGGCCGCGATGGCAGACGCTCCCCAGCGCTGGAATGTATCGACAAGATAGTTGAGCGCGGATTGAAATATCGTGTAGTAGCCAAAGCCAACAAAGAATGCGCCCGTACAAGGGATTATCCAATGGAAATGTGGGTGCGATGTCCAGCCGATTAAAAACAAGCCGCCTGCAAAGACGAACGACCCGACCATCATAGGTGGCAGACGTGCCTCTGGGATGGCCTTGTGGTCACCTTGGGAAGCCAGACGCCGGTTGTAAAAGACAACCTGATTCAACACATTGAGTGCAGACCCTAACAGAATGCCGAGCAAGAGAGCAAGGAACGGCAAGGACCCGACTAGTGGGTTCCAGCCGCGATCTTGTTGAAAGATGATCGGAAATGATGCGAGAGAGGCATAGAAGACGCCATATATGAAGGAAGCGTATAATGCGATGAGACCGCAGATCGGCGTGAACAGCATCTGCCACGGACGAACACCAAACTTGTGCAAAAGTCCAGAGAAGGTAATATTCAGCTCCTCATACTCTGCATGGAGTCCCCATTCCCCAGTCTCGAAGCGCAGACGCCGGGCTTTTGATACGAGCAAGCGAGGGGCGTACGATTCATCGACGAATGCCACGTCGAGGACGACGGTGAGTAGCTGGATGATGCCGGTGATCTTGGGAACGTTAGTGATGATGCCATCCTCGGTAACAGAAACACCCACGTATTCGGTCCACCTCCACGACACGCCGCAAACCACAATGGCGCCCCCGACGATCGGCGCAAGTACCTAGCCAACCAGTCAGTCTGTTGTCATCAGATAAGAAAATCATCGCTTACGGGGCCAGCGGCGACAGCCAATGCGTACCCCACGATGGCATTTCCTCGCTGCGAAGAGTCCCAAATGTCTGCGAAGACGCCACCTGTGCAAGTGATTGGTGCAGCGCCGAAGAAGCCGCAAAAGAAGCGGGTGATGATAATGGATTGGATATCTTTGGAGGCGCCGGTCGCAAATGAGAAAAGAGCGGATATGAAGCAGGGTGCGACGGTCGGCCATTTCCTGCCGTAGACTTCAGAAAGGGGGGCCCATACCAGAGGCCCGAAGCCGAAACTACCACAATCGTGAGCACGGGACGACGTTCGGAACGTCAATTGACCTACCCAAGCAGCAGGACGCTAGTTCCTAGCACGGCAACCTCGTTGGAAACTTGAAAGTCGTGCGCAACAATCTCGTTGGCCGGCGAGTATGCCGCACTCGCCCATGTCGAGCCGAGCGTCGTGAGTCCGTAGAAGAACGTGTTAAGTGACTTCTTTGCAAAAGACCAATTCTGCGGATTATATATATCGTTTGGACCGTCGAAGTCGACTCGGTCGCCGTTGGTACTGCCGGATGCTCGTTCCAGGTCCGGTTGGATTCGCATTTCCATCATGTAGCAGGCGGCAGGCGGTGTGCGGTTGACGTCAAAGGAAAGAGGCGGACCGCTGGAGGGTGTGGTCAAGTTCCGGGTTGCGCGTTTTGAAGGCTGGGCATTGCGCCACCGCAGCTCCATCGAAGATGGGTAAGAGCAACGTCATCGCGTAGCACGGGAAAAAAACGTGTTTCCCTATACTGCAGGCGCTCTCTGGTGAGCGACACGATCAGCAAACCAACAATGAAAGAGGCCGCTGACTGCGTCATACTGCCTTGATCGTCCAAACGTTTGGTGGGCGCGGGATGGCGTGCCGAGGACTGCGGCGCGGTACGGCCCGAGGTGGCCCAATGATCGTCCAGGAACTCCCATCCACACCTTCTCCTTGCCTGATTCGTACAACACAGCTGCCGTTCATCCTGGACTTTGACCGAGGTTCTGCTGCTTAGATCGGAGTTAGTCCCCGTTTTGTACAATAGTGTTTCTACATCTAGGAGGATAAGCGGAGCTAAAAGTACGGGTTACGCTATATTAAGCTAATGCTACTTTAAAGCCAGCAATACGGGTAAGTTCTCTTATGGGCCTAAGTGGCGGTTAAACAAGACGTTTAGTTTCTCCGGTCAGATGCACGAAGTCGCCGCAGACCATATGCCATATCAAGGCAACTTACGTAAGGCATCCCTCGCTCGCGTCCAGTTGACCTGAAGCACGTCTACAGCTCGAAGCGAACCGAGATCTTCACCGCTGCGTCTAACATCACGACAGCTCGCACAGAATTTATGGACCAGCTACCGACTTCGCAACCAGAGATCGGTACGGAGTTCACTGCTGCCGCTGCATTCCGTAAGGATCTTATCCCGTATTGCAATGACCCGACGTTATATCATTGGCACGCCTGATCAAAAGGCTGACGAGACCTGCTCTTGTTCGGCCATTGTTGAGTCTGGCAGACCTGTGGTGGTCTTACGTGCCACTGAATATGTCGTATCTTGGATCCCGCTTCTTACGAGAAAGGAAGGTGCCCGACAAGAGTATGCTGACGGCTCCACGGCTGAGATCACGATGAGTGCGGAGACAGATATGATTTCGGTCAGCATGCTATCATAGAAACGTAACGGTCTTCAGGGGAATAGAAAGCAGAGAAGTCGTTGATCAGGTATAAATCAAGCCCCAGTCCCTCGCTAAAAACTTTCGCCAGACCAGCACTTCATCACTGCTTCAAATCACGGACTGCAGTTCTCCAACTGTTCAGACGCCTTTCAACCACAACCACAATATATTCTGCTCACCATGTCTCAATCTATTGCTCAAGAGCAGAGCAATCTCAAGGTTGCTTACCTCGAAACAATCGACTTTGCCAAGCTGCTCGCCCACGAGGAGCACGAAGTTGCCAAGTTGATGTCCGCTTGTACAACGGCCGGCTTCTTCTACGTCAACCTTCAGGGCCAGAGTAGCCGTGGCCTCCTCGAAGATGAGGATAGTATGTACAAGGCCATGGAAGAATTCTTCGATCAGCCGCTCGACACAAAAATGCAGGATGATCGTGGAACTCACAAGCATGGGTAAGTCAGTCTTGCAAAGCCCAGATCGTGTGCTAACCAAGTATCCAGTTACAAGCCTGCTGGTGTATTTGCCGGAGTAAAAGCCAACACAAGAGATAACTACGAGACTCTCAAGGTCGCGCGCGACGAGATCGGCGCAAAGTCCCCGGTCCTACCCTCCACCGTGAAGAAGCACCCGCGCCTTTTCGATGACTTCATCTCAAAGTCACACCTGGTCACCATGACCATAATGCACTCTTTATCGAATGCCCTCGGTGCCGACCCCGCCAACCGTCTTGAGCAACACCACCGCGACGAAGCCGACTCAAACACGACTCTCGTCCTCCTCCGTTACCCCAAGAACCTGTCCTCTACCTGCGTTGGCCACAATCAACACACAGACATTGGCTCTCTCACCCTCCTGTTCAGCAAACAGTGGGGACTTCAGCTTGTGAGCCCCGAGACGGAAGAATGGGAGTGGGTAGCGCCGCGCCCGGGACACGCCATCATCAACGTGGGCGATTCGCTGCGCTTCTTGACCGATAAGAGGCTGGCGTCTTGCATGCATCGTGTCGTTCCGACTCCCGAGACAGCGACACAGAATCGCTACTCGATTGCGTACTTTCTGCGCCCGGAGAACGATATCGAATATAAGGATCCGGAGGGCAAGCCCATCTCAGCGAAGGAGTGGCACGATAACAAGTACAAGACGTTTGCAGACTCGCATGAGAAACAGGCTATGAACAGCATTCTTATGGGTGGAATGGATCGCCTTGCGAGAACGGGTATTACCGTTTAGATGTGATGGAAGTATTCTATTTGGCGGCCGTAACAACATTGCCATACGGCATCGTGGGACGTCATTTCCTGCCGCCGCTCCATTCAATCATACAGAAGGCGAAGTCGTTAGAACCTGTCTAATAAAAGACAATCAATTTCCAATCTACTTTCACTTCACGTTTCTACTTTAATGCTAACTGTGGCACTAAGCGGGTCCATGTTGGGAAGAAAACAGCATAGATGACAGATGCATCTAATGGGGTAGGTGAGGGAGACCACAGTGGCACTGCGCAGGTAGAGAAGCTGAAGGGAGAGCGTCCAGGCTGAGGGGACCCGACGTAAGTGAGGCTGCGGGAGCTGCGGGAACCCCAGAAACTTTCAAGCCGACGACACCTACAGAACTCTTGAAGAACTTTGGGAGCCTTTTTTCTGCCTTGCCGTTCACCACAGCTGACACTGCCGCCTAAATCACAGCCCTGTGCTGCTGCGTCTTATACTGTGTCGGTGCTAACTACCAACCGATGTGACACACGTCACCGGTGAGGCGTGCGGCGCCGGCGCCTACTGGCTGTCGACGAGTGCCATGAACGACGTGGCGCCCACACTTCATTTGCATCTTACCCATGTGACAAAACCGAGGATAAATCAACAGCATCGTCGACGAAACTATCAATTTGCGCTTTTCCTAGGCTTTCGTCGGTTCCTAACCTGGGCTCGTAAGATGCAAACTGGCAATGCTTCAGGCCTGTGGAGAGGAAGATACGAGTTTTCCAATCCCGGAACGCAATTGTCCTTGCCAAACTCCTCGTCTCCCCTCAGCCGAGCTTATTCTTCTTACCAAGGAGTGTATAATGGATCCCTCTAGAACCATGAGGGTAGTTACTATCTGGCTCAGTCCCAGCCACGGCCAGCACCCCATAGCCTGTCGCCCTATGTACAATATGTAGAGACTTTACCCGATCATCGAGACTTTGGAAGCTCTACGAGAATGCCGATGACGCCTCCGTTGAACATGCCACAGAACAATCTCGGCACTATTCACGACCCAAGTGAAGCCAGTGTGATTGCACTTGCGAAGGATGTCGGCACAGCAGAACCTTTGCATGTGACTCAGATACAGTGGGAAGAGAACAAAGCGGAGATCAAACGAATCTATCTCGACAAGGACAGGTCCTCGAGTGAGACCATGAAGCACATGGAAAGCTTGGGATTCGTGGCCTCGTAAGTGAAACGGTCAAAGAGCAATGATCATAACCTCCTAGCTAACATGGACGAAGGTCGAAGCTTTATAAAGAGAAACTGAAGGAATGGAATTTCCTGAAGAATCTCTCAGGCGAGACAGCATATTGGTTGCTGAACCATGCCCAAGAGCGAAAATTGGCAGGCAAAGGCACACACTATAAGTTTGGTCAGCGATAATTTCCAATCGAACAAGTTCAGAAATCGGCAGCTAGATATATACAACGTCACAAGCTGCCTTCATCTGCCTCTGCTGCAGCATCGTAAAGTAAAAATTCACCTGCCTTGTCACTCTAGCCGAAGTTTCTGACTGCTCAGCAGCTCTAGCCGAGATAACATATGCAACACCATCAGCATATGCCGCGTCACCCTTCGACGCATCGTCCGCTACTCCAGCTACGCCTTCGGATATGAACAAGGAAAACGGTAGGGAAGAAGAATTGTGGTATCCTAGGTTCACGTATGATGGAAATTCGAAAAGCTACTATGACGATCTGGTATCGAAGGCTGGGCAACTTTTAAGGTTAGGTCAACATACTGAAGCCTTGGAGAATTATCTAGACGCACCGGCTGGCTATCGAAATCTGTTATCGCCAACGAATGACCTGGTCACCTCTTTGGTCTACAAAGTCGCCCAGCTGTACATGCACTTGCAGGACATGAAGATAGCCGATAGAATTCTAGAATCAGCAACTGAAGCTCACGTGCGTGAGCACGGCCTTTGGGATGAAAGGAAAGTACAGCACATTAGCCAACTCATCAAGATGCTACAAGGCTGGGCTCGCCAGAACGAAGCACTGCCGCTTGTTCTGAATCTGCTTCAACGCCAGAAACATGAATCTTACTCAAATTTGCCTTCGTCTTCGTCTACTATCTCTGCCAACTTCGACACAGCAGAGATCCGGCGTCACTTAGCCATGGCAGAAATGATCGCTTCAGTCATGGACGAGACTACCAAAGCAGGATTGGTCGCAATAGCGCAACGTTGCGAAGCCCAGCCTTTGGACTTCCCACAGCAAACACTTGATGTTTGGGTCGCACTAATTCGCACCTACAAGGACGCAGGGGACGTTCACCATGTACAAGACGCCTTGAGTCGTGCGGCCGTCTCTTTCCGCACGCTCAATGACCTGGAAGATGAAGCTTGGACGATCCCCTTGTTCTCGTCTCTACCATCCCTTATGGAAGTATTCATCGGGTACGGCAAGCACGAATTCGTCGATGGTGTGCTCCTTGCTGTGGAGGAGCGAGCAGAGTATACACTCTACAACGGCCCTGACAGCATGATTGATCTTTTTCTCCGTATGGGTATGCTTTACCAACGAGAGGATATGTGGGAAGAAGCAGATCATTATTTTCAGTACGCGCAAGCAGCAAGTGCAAACGCTTCTGGGCGTATGAATACATGAACAAAGACTATCGAGGACGCTCGGCGGCAGCAGCATTACGAGCCAAAACTGTTATCAGTACGGCGGGTATGAGTATGAGTTTAACTTATAAGACATCAGCCGGTTGCTACAACCGTGCCTAATATTGCCGCTGAATTCAACAAACCATCCTCATCTCACCGCATCAACATACGGTACGTACTCAACTTTCTATGGACGCCGCTCTTGTTACTCGCGACTTCCCACAGTACGTTATACGGTGCGTTATAGATGCTGATAACAGAGCAGATAGTTGCAATCAAGAGAAGGGCTCAATTCAGGCTACCAACTGTTCTTTATTGCGAAATTAGTTTGGATTGCATTGTGCACCATTAAGCTTCGCTCTGGAATCTCCTCTGCAACAGTTGGCGAACGAATTCGACGTCACATCCAGCGGGCTTCCCGCATCGACCACACAGTCCTTGTGCTTGTTGAAGAACTGGCCCGTGAGTGTACCCTTGTTGGGGATACTAACGCCGTTTGAACAGCAACTGTATGTTATTCCAGCGATATCGACATCGGAGCCTCCTGTGCATTTGCACCAGTATGACGCCGCCTGGGTACAGGAAGAATTGACGTTAGACCATGCTTGCGGAGGGCGATGTTGAAACGCTTACCTGAGTTGTGGTTGCAATGGCGAGGCAGGATATGGCGAAGTGCAGTTTCATCGTGAGTAGTATGAAGTCGCTATATTTGTTCGAGGAAAGAGGCAAAGCAAAGTCAAGATGGAAAGCCGCTCTTATTGCAACGATGGTCGTGGTGGATGAGATCGATATTATAAGAGCAGCTGTATTTATACTTGTCCATCTGCAAGGAAGAAAGATATCGGAACTGCTATGGCATAACCCAAGACTCCGACTCCGACTCCAACTGATTCCGTGCCATGGGTATCTATTCCAGACGCCGAATAGGGTATTAAGCGACTCCTGCGAGAGGTGAACTAGAGATCTACAGAGCATAGGTAGATATCGTCGTTGTGTACGTGCTCTTGGTGGGACGGGAAAGCCGGATGTTGACCCTAGCGATCCACACCGCAACAATTGATGCACAGAGTTCGTTCATCGTCCTGACACTCCTACTCTTACTGCTTTATCTTGTTTCCAGTTCCTCTTTCTATACGGGTGATGTTCTTGTCTCATCACAAGACGTGTGTTAATGCATAGTCTTGAGATGTTTGGCTGTCTTCTGCCGTGTTGTTGCATTGCGCAGTCAAGGGAGCGACGGCCCGCACGGGCACAGTAAGCTGCCCAGGTGCTAAGCACATGCTGACGATCTGACAAGCTTACTGTCAGTGCTTATCGGACCATAATGAACATTGCGTAGCCTGAAAGAGCTTCGCACGAGACCAGTGCTCATGACGTGTCCCAAAGTACGCGACTAATCAGCTCGTCGTCGTCGTTGGTAGCTCCTGCAGCCTCAACGACAGTCAAGGCATTTTGATCGACGTCAAGATGTTCTTTTCCTCTGATAAAATAATCTTCGATGTTCTCATCCAGGTTCACAAACTGCAATTTTTCTAGCGCCTAGATAGCCTTGTGGTTGGCGAAGTCGCCTGTGCGGTAGTGATGAAATGAGCGCATTTGGCAGTTCTCCCTATAGTTGTAAGCTTTGCTGAGGCGACCAGTATCGATTGCATGGTGGTAGTGTTAGACGTAGCTTCATGGCGATGCATCGTTACCAGTCTTCCCTATGCAGAGTTGGTGGGCGATGGTAGCATTGCGGATATAGAACCGATCATGATCGAAGTGAGAACATTTTCCTATGTGATTAGTCTCAATTGGATCGACCTAGTCTACCAACTTCTGGATCTCTTGGCGAAGATACCGGGAATATTTGATCTGCTAGCGAAAGAGAATGCGCGTTGTACCCTGAGAATGTGTTGCCTATCATAAGAATTTGAATAGTCTTGGCTTCTGAGGGCCTACAAAATCTGTATCTTGTCTCATGTCTTCCCTATAACAGTCTCCTATCAACTCATAACGTTTTCCAATAGCTCTTACCACAAAAGGAACACAGCACCCCGCAAGAATACATATGCGATCAGTTGGCCTTGTATCCACGGGTACCCAGGCGAGATACCTTTTCTTTGTGACACAGAATTTCCGGCCGGCGGATAGCTCTGCAAACTTGCTTTCGTATAAGCTATTACGACCGTCTTGTCTACCGTGACTTCGCAGAAGGCTGGGGTAATAGTGTGCTTGTCCTACTAGTCTTTCCAACTTACTGAGTAGTGCCTGAAACCCCGTCATATATTTCGTAGTCAATGTAGACTCTTCTTCAAGCCGCACACCAAATACCATTGCACGGCAAAATCTTCCAAAGCGGACGTTCTCGACTGAATGTGGAAGAGTCAATACAGCTACCATATAGCACATATACATCCAATTCAACATATGTCTGGTCAAGCTCGGGGCATCTGCATCAGTTTCGAAGACTGGTGGTCGACTCGGATCCATATATGGCCTCGAATCAATAATGACGTGAGGTTCGTCCAAGATAATTCCTGATATGTACAATGCCTGGAGAGTCAGATCTTTCGTGCAGGAGACCAAGGACAGAACTCACTTTATTTTCGATAACAGCGTGGTCGTAAGGGAGTTCAAAAGATGCAGTGCCAGTAAAGTAGCGCGTCAAGGGAACGAAATTGAATCCAATAGGCTTCCAGTCCGGCACCCAGCTTGGTAAGTTTGATGATTGTGGAGAGCGAAATTTACAAGCCAAGAACCTGCTGACTCGGTGCAAGTCAGTCCTCTGAAGTTGGTACTCCGATGCCTGAACTATCTCTCCATCCCGTGTGATCCTGGGAACTGGTATGTTGAGAGCCTGCGCTGCAATCTCTGTATAGACTGTAGCTTCACCCTTACGGTAATCGATCATGTCCATATTCACTGCTTTTTGTGTTGACAAGAGTGCAAAAACTCGGTCTTGAGGATCTGTGGCTTCAAGTTGCTGGCTCCTGCACCATAGATCGAAGATTCGAACACGATATTCATCTCCTATCTCACGGTAGATCCCCAAAGCTTGAAGTCTCAAGATAGCTCTTTGGGCTTGACGAGCATCTTCATTGTGCCATGAAACAGCTCCTCCGATTGCAGCACACACTCCAGTAGCGAGCCCGCAATGCACTAGCAATTCAGTGGGAATCTCCAGTGCACCGGACATAAACACGGAATTCCTTGCGTTGAAGAACTCTTGTACAATCCAAACGCGTCCAAACCATGGGCGACAAAACAAGGAGGCCCATCCAGTCCAGCCGCGGTCAATGGAAGAAAGGCCCAGCTCCTCGAGAGTCTTTCCTCTGTGTGGTTCCAGATCCAGCTGAGGCGGATACTGCTTGAAAAAGCTTCTCATCAGATCGATTGCAGCTTCATCGTAGAGTTCCTGTTCTCCGAGCCAGAATATGACCTTTGCGGCACGCTTGTAGATGTCTCTCATCATAGCCACTTGAAAGCTCTTCTCTTCTTCGTCCTTTTGGTTGATGCAGATAGCGTCTACCCACAGTCGGCAATCAAACTTCTGTTTCCGTAGTTGCAACAAGACGCCCCAAAGATTTCGTCTAATCGGCGTTTTATGCCCATTGCATGTAATCTCACATGGCGATGTTTCATCCCCCCAGACATATGAGAGCGCTCTGAATTGCGTATTCGAGTCGAGGTCGAAAGTTTCGAGAGTGATCTGAATGCCTTCCTTGCCGGTTCCTGATTTGATGCGCAATAAGCGGATGGCTCGTTGGTGCGGAAGCTGGGAGTACAACGGTGCGTCTGACATTTTGAAGCTTTCCGTTCGTTTTGTGTATGTGTTCTTGGAAGGGAACACGAGACTACAGCTCTAGGAATTGGTCGACTATACAAGTCGGTTCATCGAGGCAGCCGGTGAACTGACCGGATATCTCATAGGCGAAGTGGCGTTCCACCGCGCGACGAAATCTGACGCCTGATTCGTCAACCAAGATCTCAACAGAATCCTCCACCCACGTTGATACACGAGCTTCATAACCGAGAGTTGATGCGATTGGGGTCATCTAGTAGTGCGCAGCAGACCACCTGACAACTAAATTACCACATCACTTCGCGAGCGGAGTGTGATGCTGGTTGCTTCTGTCAACTCTCCTTGTAGGCGCAGCCCTCTTGAAGATACTATCCCTGGCGATGGAATCACACCTTGCCGTGGGGCTTACCCACCAAGACGATTCCGAAGGGAGAGGAAGCTTCGATCTTAACAGCTTCAAAACTTACCAACCGACTGCTACATCACGTTTTTATTCGAACAAAAAACTGGTCTAACCTCATTGTTGCCATCCGCAGTGTCCACATTGTCCCAAATTATTGCGATGATGCAGAAGCGACGAGCCACTTATAATTTCCGCAACACATACCTAAACGTACGCAAACGTACTCATCAATGAGATATACCGCACATGCAAAGAACTGAGCGCTTACCGTTGATCACTCCACGCGTCCGGTCGCGACATTTATCTCTGTCGTACTATCCTCGACTTCAAGATACACTTCAGTAGTCGTCTGACTGGCTCCGTATGCCGACAATGGAAAGATCTGTATCACAAGCGGATCGCTGCTGGAGAGCTTTGTCTCATTCAACATACTACCGAAGGAGGTGCGAAGCAAGGATTAGGGACTATGACACATCCCGGCTATCGGTCGAAACGGTAATATCAACTCAGCCTCGGTGTTGACCATGGTACGCTAGCGCACGCAACCAGGGAAAGATATCATCCCACAACGCCGTCGATTCCATAAGACCTACCTCTTCTCTTGACTTCTTACTCCTCGTTCACAACGCCTTCCCAACTTCGGAAACCGCAAGACCACGACTTCTCACAGAATGCTGTCGCTGCTGCTGCTAATTCTTATATGGGCACCATGCCTCTCTTTCAAACTCATTTTCGCCCTTGAGACCAAGCACAGAACGCTGTCGCTGTGGACCATAATATTCATATGGGCACCAGGGCTCATATTCAATCTCTTCTTCACAATCATACTCCAACACTTCTACGGTCCCTCCATCGCAGACTGGACATCCTCGGACCAACGCTCTTGGCATCTTCACCATCAAGGCGAACCCGCCTACATATCGTCGGATGTACTCGGAATCGAAAAACCACACTGGATCTTATGGCTCGTCGTGCTCATCACGGTGGTCACCATATGCTTCAGTCATTCCCGATTCCCCCAACAAGCGAAAGAAGGATTGTTTTACTCCATCGTCGCGAACATGCTCTTCATTCGTTGCTTATCCACCTTCCCAGGCATTACACATTATGAGGAATCGATGTTGTGGTTTTGGTTCCCATGGGACACCAGGTCACCTCTCAAAGGCTTGATACTGACTAGCTTTGTGAAGCTCCGCCTTTGGGATAGGCTGTGGTTGGGCGCTTATTCCGACTCTTCCCATGACACGACACCTACGAACCTCACTAGTGACGATGCGCCCTCTATCTCATCTCATGACGCCACACTTCCGTCTTCCCATCAAGTAAGCCCGACGACGATTTGCATTGGTTGCGCCCCTTACGTCAAGCCCTCATCTTCCCATGAAGTAGTTCCGCCGCTTTGCTTTGGTTGCGGCTTCCGCAACTTGGTCTATCTCTGTGATGTGCTCAATCTCGGATCTTTCTACCACGGTATCACCAACCATTACAAGCCCGTTGCTTGGCGTGACGCCATGATTCGGTTGGCCTTTTACTACGTTCTCGATAGCATCGTCGTCGTACTTCAGCTCCGGTTCTCCTACCCATATGGCGAGGGCGCGCCCTACACATCCTATGTCAACAACTCGGAGATCGCGACCTGGGTGCTCATATTACAAGTGAGCATTTGGAAGTCTTTCAGAATGCAAGAGAGATTCTTGGCGTTGTTACAAAAGGAGAAGGTCAAGGAGAAGGTCATGACTGAAGAGTGTTGAGACTGCGATTGAAATGAGAAGACTGGATTCATGGAGAGGCAGGATCGGTTACCAAGATGACACGCCGAGGATATCTGTTGGGAATGAGAGCACAGCGACTTTATCATTGCGCCTTCTGTCCTAGCATAGAAGTATTACTGAAGTGAACTTCAAAAAGTGACTTGATAGACTGAATACATAGCGCAATCCTCCAGAGATACACTAGCTATCATCGTCATCCTATGTACTGTGCATATTTACCGAAGTAAGCGTCCGTTTTCAGCCGGTTCATATCTTCTTCTCTCAAGCATATCGCGGCCGCCACATCCTCTTCCAGCGACTTCGGCATAAGGAAAACTAACCCTTCTAATGCCTTGAAACGCGGCCTCCGAACGGCTTTCGGTCTGCCGAGTCCAAGGCCGAAATCCAGATCGGAAGTCTGTACCTTTGACCATGAACTGAGTATCAAGTCTCTCGACATGTCAAAGTCGGCCGTGGAAGAGAAGATGACTTTGTTTGCTGTACGGCTGAGGAAAGTCGCAACGGCGCGAGCATGAAACTCGACTGATGTAGGATCTAGCGCTGATCGGAGGTGCAGAGCGATAGTTCCCAAGGGCCTTGATACCAATGTTTCAAGCGAGATCGTAGTGTATGCGCTGTCTTGTATCGGCCCCGGGTACAAAGGCGAGATGTTAAGTACCGATCGTGCATCAACGGCACGGGCTATCGACGATCTAGCAGCGGGCTGAAGACGTGGTAGACGAGCTCGTTGAACAGATTGCCAGATTAAGGCAGTCAGGGCATCATCGGTAGATATGTACGCGGGAGCGGTCACTGACTCCGTCGCGATCGATTTGAGGGCTGCAAGTGACCTGGAAGAGAAACCGAAGTAAGCCCACACGTAGTTCGGCCGTGGTGATGACATTTGATCTGAAGCCGAACTCTCTGTACTGGACTTTACAATATGGCGATCGAGCTCTGGACCGGGAATATATGAATCTTCCAGCAAGGGGACGATATTGTGTCGCTCGATATTGCCATAGAAAAGCTCGTCGCTTGTGAACTGGGCGCCGCAGCAAGCCTTGGAAAAGAGGCGTATCATGTGGGCTTGACCGGTCATATCCATGGTATTATGCTGTGCGAGAAACGTCAGTAGGAGGCCCCCAGGGATGAAAGTGGCTTGAATAAGGAAAGCCGGCGCTGATTTCGAGTGGGTCTGGTCTGTGAAGGTCTTGCGAGGTGCGACCATCTCTTCATCCAGCATGGATATCGGAAACCCAGCACGCACAAAACTGTCCATTGTTGGTGTTGAGGTATCGCGACTGAGATCCTTCACGACGACAGCGTGCGCGCCTGCTGACGCCTTGAACTTGTATACACCTGTGCTACCGTTCCCTGAGCCCTCGTTAATGACATCGCATGCTAGCCACGGGAAGGCCGCAGATAATCTCGCGAGCCCATTGTTTAGCGTCCCGACGATCGTTTCGTGGGATGAGGTGTCGCTTGTCGTGAAGGCGAAGCATATCTGCGTATTTATCGTGAAGAATGGTTGTTGTCCAAAAATGTCTAATTGACCGTCCATCTCGCTATCTCTTAGTCAGGTACTGGGCGCATCCATGGTCGGCGGGCCTGCGCTCTTATTGTGTTCGACGATTCTTGGCATTATGAGTCGAATTGTATCACTATGTATGGGTTAGGACGCGCCGAGAAAGCCCCGCGTAAGATGCTTGAGCGGGTCGATAAGTGCGCAAATACAGTGAAGGATTTTTCAGTTTCCTCGCGCACTGTTTGTGACAAGAACTGAGGTCTAGTGAAATGTTGTGAAGATTGTCTGGAACTTGAAGTGGGTGAATGATGTTTCGAAGTTCGTCACGTGAAAGTGGGGCAGACGAGTCTAGAAAGAGAGCAGGCGAAAGGAGAGGAACAGTTTCATGGCACCATCTATTTGGCATTCGATGAAAACAAATATCTACATCAACATATCGAACCACATCATATAACGTCTTGTGGTTGCAAAACATCCGATATTGCATCCTATCGGAGATGTGAGCATTCACTGCTTCTTGCGTTGGGAGACCTTCACAGACATCTTCCGGCCACCAACCATCTTCCCGCTCAATTCCTCGATCGCGCGATCAACCTCGCTTGTCGCAATACCAACGAAGGCGTAGCCCTGCTTGACGATGACCTTTGAAACCGTAAAACCTTCAAAGATGATGCGGATGCTCGAGTCCGCAACACCATGTGGGAGGTTGTTCAGCTTTAGATCTGTCATGTCTTGCGGGAGTGCAGCAGGCGGCGCGCTGACCGCACCAAGGGCGGACTTGTTCTTGTTCTTCTTCTTCTTCTTTTCTTTATCCGATATGCTCACTCGAATAGTGCGACCCTTCCACTGAACGCCATTCCCAAATCGCGCAAGAACTGCGTTTGCCTCTGGTTGCTTAAAGAAGACGAAGCAGAAGGTTTTGCCGCCTGGCGGCATATTGACATCACGGATGGGAAATTCCTTAAAGATCTCTTGAACTTCTTTCGGTGAAGTGCCGGCTTCTATACCCGTAACGAAGAGCATCACATCCTTCCCGAAGAGCGCCCCATCTTCCTGGCTTGACCTTTTAATGAGCAAGTCTTCAATCTCTTCATCTGGGCCCAACCGAGCGTTTAACGTAGCCCTCTTCCAGTATGTACCAGCGAACAGACGCACAATATGGAGTGCCGTACCGGAATCCTTGAGCTGTACGAGTCCAACTCCTGGTCGTGGAGATCTGACGTGAGTGATTCCAAGAGGCTCGTTATAGTGATAGTCATTAGGGTCGAGTTCGCCACCTTGTAGAAGAATTGAAACGTTTTCTGCCTCGATTAGATCGTTGTCTTCCCATATGGGTTCCAGAAGCTGGCGTAGATTGCTCAAAGTGTGGTTTCTAGGAAACCCCGTGATCTCGACGGTTCGCGACAGGACGTGGTTGTTGCGGCCGTAAAGGAGATCGGATAGGCGATTCGTAAAGCCTTCGAGGAGTTCAGCCTCGGGCTCGTCACGTAGATGAACCCCAATCTTCTGGCCTTCAAACTTGCCAACAATCAAGCGATAGTTGTCGAAATCGTCGGCGCACTTCTTTGCGAACTCGTGTGTTTTAAAAACTACCCGGGCGACTAAGCACTCTCCAGGCGGTGTGTAGATGTCGACCATCTCATGCTTGTGTAAACCATATATCTCGGCAAGTGTAACGAACAGCTCGGTGTGGGAGGGAAGTGGGCCGATAGATACGATGATCGACATGATTGTTTGGGAGTGTTGAGAAGGTGTCGGTAGCGAAGGTTAACTGGATCGAGTGACGACTAGACAGTTTGAAGCGAACTGAGTAGGGAAAAGAAAAGGAGTCTTGAAGAGAGTACAGATAGGTAGGACAAAGAAGTGGATGTCGGAGTCGAAGTGCGTTGGATTAGGAGGATTCGAATATATAGGAATTACGCTAATGGGTGCAGAAGGTGCCAATAATAATACATGAAGTGGCTCCTTCTCGTCGCGGCCACGGTGTACATCTATTAATTCACGATGTGTAACCCTTGGTCCTGGCTCTCCACAACAGGCTCACACATCAGTGCGCAATCCACTCATATCATAGGTAGCACAGCGGAACAGCCACTTATAACGTTCGCAGGCAACAAAGTATTGGTATGAAAATCAGTGATATCACATATAATGGAGACTGTGGAAACAACACACAGTGGCTGTGTGCGCACAATCGTGAAGCAGTACCGTGGTTATCATCGATGCAACCACGGTAATGCGATGACCCATGACTGACGAGCCACTTAGGATTTCCAAGATACATATGCTTCATACGTAAGAAGTTCTCGAATGCCCAGTATCACAAACATATCAAGTTGTGGAGATAGCGGGCCGTTGAGACACTGCTCTCGATGAAGCTAGACCTGTCTTTTAACTGGCTTTAGGCCACCCTCCCGTATCCGCCGGTGGCGAGTTATCTTTGCATCAACTTCATTTTCCGGATGAAGCGGTCGCTGGATGTAGGTAGCGGAAGCGCTCCTGTCGTACATTATTACGAAACACTCACCAAGAGAAGGCGGCAAGTAATATTGTTTCTGCGTCCAATTGGTCTTGATATTTTTCCATAAAGTCTGCTGAAACCACCCCGCGATCCAGCGGGGACGGATGCTCAGGATAGAAGCCACGAAACCCACCGCAGTTTCATCGGGACACCAGGTGGAACCGCGGAACTTAGTAACATCTACCGCTGGCCAGGTCCGACGATTTCCGCTGGAATCTCGTTGAGTGAACTCAGCATTTGTGCTTGCTTTAATAGCACCCATTATTCTCTCTTGATCAGCTTTGGAATGGTATTCCTCCATTTTGACGGTAGCCAGCGGGTAAAACGTTCCATTGTCGTCATCGCCCGCCTTGCTACCCATCGGTAACGGTACACACCCAAGGACATTCCACTGCCAAGAGTACCCCAACTCTCCGCTTTTCTCGGTGATATCCCAAAATGGTTCCAGGGGCCCATATGCTCCATATACGAAGAAGTTGTAGCTATGAGCCACTTCATGTCCAATTACGGAAGCGAGCATGAGCAAAGCTCTGTAGTACTCATCGAGATTTTGATGAGGCGTTGCGAGTGTCTTGCGGAAAAAGATGTCGAACCTTCGTGATAAGACGATGCTTGGGTTAGCTATACCTGAACTGGGTGGAACAAATGGAAGGTTTTCGACACGAAGCTCTTGGAAGAATGGCATCTTCTCCCTCCGGTGATACGCGGTTCCCCAATTCGACTTCTTGTGAAAATCTTGGGGAGCAAACATGAAGGTAATTACCTTTGAGAGGTTCTTGAGGTTCGTTTTGACAAGCGCCAGCGCCTGTGGAGTGGTGGAGTATGGTGTTGGAACTAGGTAGGCTTTACCTACAGCGTTCAACCGCCGTTCGCTAAACGTCAGGCGACTGTACCATAGGAGAGGACCATCCTCACATAGGAAAAGAGAGGCTAGTTGTAACGCAGGTAGTATTCTCTGATATATCTCGACAAAATGCTGACCCGGATATGTTACCCAGCGCTCAAGCTTGAGTATTGGATGGACGGGGTTTGTCAAGGAAGGTAGCCTTTGTGTTGGCTGGTCTCCGTGATACTCGCGTACATGCCATCTAAAATCTTCGAGAAGACAAAACAGAAAAGGCTCGACAGACGGAGATTTTGCCATGGTCAACAATGAAGCTTCAGCGAGGCGTGGTCGCGTGCTGTTATACGTCGACTTGCAATGTTTCTCGCTGTTTAAGTGGATAACCCAAGACGCATCAGTTGTGAATAAGCTCGAGAATGAGCTGTATGTGACACAGTGTAGCAGGTGACATTTTAAAATGTTTCAATCGACAGCAAAGCCGTGTCAGCGTCAAGGACGTTAGTTTCAGTACAGCATCGCGCGTCAATTTCACAGTTTCCACATGTGGAGAGTACCAATAATCCTCCTTATAAGCTGCTGAGACTCGTCGCATACCTGGTGAATATCTTTACAAGGGTGGGATACGTGCAGACCTCCGAAGAACATCTGGAAGTGAATCGTTTACGATAGGATGCGTTGACTAATGGTATCTGTGACATAACGATGACTGTGCCAGTCGTGCCTCGATCGATTCGACAAGCACCTCTCGGCTGCGGATACCACTAGAAGCCTTGTCTATTTGTTGGGATAGCTTCAAGAAGACGTGGAGTCTGTATGACGCACAACGTGAGTTGGAAAAGAAAATCAACAACGAACATTGCGCGTGGAGAAAGGTGCGAGCCACCTCGGCTCGATGACCCGCTAGTGCACATGTCAACCAGCTTCTGAGTTCAGTCAATACCTTTCTTTCTTTTTCGATGCGATATGACAGCAAATGTCCCGCACCTATGCGATCGCGATGGCGAGTTGATCGTTCAGCTCGATCGAGATATCTCTTTGAGAACATCGCAGCACGATGAGACTACCACATCACAGCTTCGCCAAGGTGGAACGCGCGACCCATTTCTGTACTTTCTGAAGCTCGTGATGATCAGCAGGGAAGTAGCGAGGCCCGAGGATCTTCTTCTGCACTTTGCCTGTGGCTGTCTTCGGCAGCTCGCCATCCGCAATTCTCAGAAGTGTAGGCAGCTTGTATCCGGCTAATCTTTCGCGTAGATCTCGACGCAGAGCGTCGATGGTCAAGACGTGTTTCGCTCCACTATTCATTCTCAGTAGGCCGGTAGGCATCTCCCCTTCCTGTAGCGAGATCAATGCAGCGACGCGTTGCCCGTACTCCTCATCTGGCACGCCGACCACCATGGCTTCTGCGACGTATGGCAGGCTTAGCAGCTCGCGCTCGACATCCAGCGCAGATATCTTATATCCGCCCGACTTGATGATGTCTAGAGAGGCTCGCCCGATAATATAGTAGTATTTACCGTCTCTTCGTGCAATATCGCCGCTTCGGAAGTAGCCATCTGGGTCATGAGCCCTCGCAGTTCCTTCGGGATCACGTAGGTACTTTGAAAACATGTGCTGAATATTCTTAGCGCATGTTGCCTAGATTGTTAACGAGGAAGCATACCGGACTCTTCACAAGCACCTCCCCCTCGTCCCCTTCGGACAGTCTCACGTCAACACCACTGGCGATTTCGCCTACAGAGCCTTCCGGAACGTCGTTATCGCCAAGACGCATCTTGAAGATAGCTCCAAACTCCGTCGCTCCGTACCGCTGTAAGATCGGTTTTTGCATTATGCTCTTCCAGAAGTCGTTAAGTGGTTGGGGTAGTGCTGACGTTCCGCACAAGCAAGCCCGGAACTGTCTTGCGCCTGCAACATACTTCGCTATCTCATCTGCAGGTAGCTTGCGTAATTTGTTTTGATAATATCGTCTCATTCTCATGTATATTGTGGGTACGCCGGAGAAGATAGTAAGCCGTTTTCGAGGATCCGTAGCACCTTGCTTCCACCGTTCCCACATTTGTTTTTCATCAAAGCCTCCACTGCGGAACTCGATACGACTACCGGATACGAGGGAGGGGAAGAAATTGATACCCACACCAGTCGCATGATGCACTGGAAGGACGTGAAGGACGACGTCGTCTTGATCTAGCTGGTAATGATCCGCTACTTCTAGCGCGCAGTCAAAGATGAAAGCCCTTCTCATTACCGCCCCCTTGGGCGCTCCAGTAGTCCCACTGGTGAAGATGACTACAGTGGGCGCATTCTCATCCAAGGCACGGTCTGAAGAGACGATAATGTCTCTAGCATCGAGCATAGGAGACGAGATGGAGGGCTTGATGGCCACAGCTCGAAAATGCTTATCGCTTGTCATACCGATCCGCTTTTCCAGATCAAGACATTTGATCCAGTCCAATGAGCTAGCTAGAACCAGTGCAGCTCTTGACTTCTCGACAAAGTACACTGCTTCTTCTACCGGCAGAGCCGGTGTCAGTGGGACTACGGCAGCACCGAGCGCCAGTATCGCTAGTACCGCCACAGTGTATTCATACCCTCCAGCCGCTACGACGGCTATGTATACCTCATCTCTTTTTTCCAGGGCTTCAAGCGCCGCGTCAGTCAGTAAACGGGAAACACTTTCTCGTAAGGCTAGTACATCCGAAAGCAACTCCAGATGTGTCTTTTGAAGATTCAAGCGGACGTCATCAATAGCTATGGGCGCAGGTGTTCGACTCGCGAACCGCAGGATCCTGGAAAAAAGAGGCTAGGTTGAGTTCAGCGCAACTCCGCGACCATGTCTTCGCTTCTGTTGGGGACTACGTCTTACAGTATTCGGGAGCACGTTGCGTCCAGCGTGCTTAGGTATCACACGGCATCGGTCATCCATCCTGTTGGTATCCGTTTCCTACTTGAGCATCCAAGGTGTGGCTGATACTGTCTGCTCCTCATTATCGCATACTAGAGCGTAGAGTTCGGTACGAGATTATTGAAGCATAAATGATGAGTCGCGTGCGACGTGTCATCACGATCATGTCTCTTTAACCGAACGGTGCAAGATCGCGGGGAAGACTCCCGAGACCGACCCCGCAACCCTCTCACTCCCGACGCTAAGGGCCGCCCAAGGCCTGCCGCCACACGCCTGCAGCCGCAATCTAGTGGAGTACCCTTGGTGGGTTTCCCTTACGATGTACGGAGCATGCGGTGGAGAGGATGCCGCCACCGAGTTTAGATACTCGCTCGACCTGGATACTACAAAAGTCCAGACCGTCGCGCTTGAGTACCTGTACTTCGCGCGCTACGCACAAGAGGGTGAACAGTCAAGCGAGTGGCTGTGACAAGAGCGACAATGTTTTCATCTTTCACTAACCAGCACAGTAGTCTTCAGCCACCGGCTGTGGCATCTTACGACCCAGAACTGTGATTTCAAATAGGTCATCACATCAGACCTGTCATTGCGGGCCGGGCCTAAGGTCATCACCACGTTCAAATCAAACTGTCATCATCCTACGCGAAGGATGCGACCGATCCTTCCGACGTCTCTCGCACTGTCCCTGCGTGGAAAGCAGGCACATCGTGATCCCCTCTAGCTAGGCATCCTCCAATACTCTGGGCGCCTACCACCTAGCACATCCAATGATTGAGTCGCTGTGCTCTCATTCCCAACGCTCTTCCGGGTCGCCTACCCGGCCTTGCATACCGCCGTTCGCTGTACGACCACCGACAAACCTTAATCCTACGGTGTCATATAGATCGCCCGTCAAGAGAAGAGGCTACAAGGCGCATGCGAGACTTTTCGATAGCGTTACAAATATTTCCGACAATGCAGCAGGCTGGAATCAGCCCGATTGCTCAGAAGAAGGTGTGATTTCTTTTTTGAACGCATCGCATGCATGAAGCTCCCCGCTCATTGGACAGCAGCGTCGCACACAAGGTGGGGCGCTTATTTGCATCAGTCAGCCACAATGACTGCAGCCGCATCAACTGCTATCTTCGTCATCCTCCTCTAGACCAGGGTTTTGTTTGATTGTTCCTTACCGATGCTTACGGTGTTTGCTGGCATTTCACGTCGGTGACGACCCCACGACCCACTAACCGGAGGACCGCCGGCAACGTGTCTCCTTAGGAGCCTTCCCCACCGATCAGATGACGCATCGCTGTCTGCTCTCAGAGTCCTCTGAGAGGCGATGCATCACACCGCTATCCGTCAGATGCTATTTGGAGCATTACCATGGTAGCTAGCCAGGCTGAGCTCTCGGTAGTCGGGACCAGTTATTCGAAGAGTCACAACAATCGTGTCAACTCTGACTGGAACGTTGGAAACAACTAGGTGAGTTGTGCTGTGTTAGTCGCTAGATTCTTGATGTCGCATATTCCTCCAGACTCCTATAATAGGCTGCTAAACGCGGGTACATTCTGTTGCGCGTTGCGGGCGCACAAGCATCAAAGCGCCTGGTCATAGGGCTGCGTACTCACCTTGCTTGCGGCGCTCACCGACTATAACAGGGCGACATGACCGGTGTATCGATTCGTCTGCAGTCAGTATGGCATCGATGATCAAACAATCCCTCGTGGTAGCCTGGTCACATTGACCATTCATATTGGGTAGCGGCCAAGCCCGCAATTTCAGATACGATCGGGATGTCATGCTGTGCCGCGAAAGTCCCGCCCGCAGCGACAGCACAATCGAAGGACGTGGGTGCCAGCCTGATTTCAAGCGACAGTCGACACAAACAAGGACAATTCCCATGCGCCCCACCCCTGTTGCTAGGGCATGGACGTCGCGGAATAGCGAATTGATCTTTTTTGAGCTGCATATAGTCGCCTGACCTCTGCCGCGAAAGACGAGAATGGGCGGAAGGAAAAGCAAAGCACATGAACGGTCCTGGTCGTGCCCATTTCGTTCATGGGCGGGAACCCTCTTTGAACGTTGCCGCATCGGCTGCACCTCATCCGCTGCCGCGGGGGTTTGGTTCCTCAGGCACGGTTGAGCAAAGCGGCCGGGGAAGCCGGCACGAGACACGTTTGGCGCACGTCAAGGGTTGAAAGTGAATCTCGAATAAGCAGACAGCCGGGGAAGCGGGAATGAGGCGTGGCTTGGGCGCACAGATGTTTCCGCATGCGGTCATCGTCCTTCTTAGCCCACTCGGCCCGTCGAGTGGGCCAATGCCGCCCTCCCGTCACACCAGGCGCAGCTCAATGGGGCCTTGCGGTGAAGGGGGTAAAACGACATCTCGTGCTTCACATGCTGGGTGTTTGCTCACCCAATTCGCGGTATGTGTGACTCTTCATCCATTCCGTATATATACTGACTACGAAAAGCCACGACCATGGCCCTAGATTTTCCACTAGTATTGCGCAACGGCCGGCTTTTTGAACCTATTGCTAGCACCATCCCCCGCTTACTCGACATGCTCAACACAGCACATAGCCCACCTGTACAGACAAAATCGTTTCATCTATCATGTCTAGACCAGAATGTCGTGCGCGTATACATACAGACCCTGTGTATCTTTCCCGTATGTCGTTCTGAACCATGTGTCGTGCTGACATCGATTGACGTTATCCGCAGTTTCCTGATCTGAATGACGCCGAAACGGCCATACAAGCTCTCGGTGCCGGATTGCGCCTTACACTCAACAAGTTTCCCTTTCTTGCTGGCACACTCACACTTGCGGACCGGAAAGCTGGAAAACTCGCCCTCAACTATTCAACTGATATCACAAGCGAGCAATTGAATCGCGTATTTCGATCAAAGCAAATCCCATACCATGAGACAGATTTTCCCCACACCTACGAACAGCTCAAGAGAGATGGCATGCCACCGAGTGCACTCCGAAGTGCTATGTTCGTTCCGGAAGATCTCGCAAATTATGCTGGCATTCCACGAGACGGCGAAGGAAAAGTGGACTTTGACAAGAGCGACGCACCAGCCATGCGGACTCAGGCCTTCTTCATACCTGGCGGCCTTGTACTTTCCATGTACATGCATCACAGTGTTTTTGACTTTTCAGGCGTTACTCTCTTCTGGCAGACGTTCTCGGAGAATGTCTCCAAAATCTCAAAGCAGCAACTCTTCGAAGAGCACAAGATCATAGGTACCACTCTCCCCCTACACTGTCAAGCTACCACTAAACATGGCAGACACGGGAAGCGTCGCCGACGAGCAGTCTCTAATGAGAAAAGCCGTTGACGAGCAGGTTATCCCACCGCTAGGCAACGGCGGTGCCGACTGCTATTGCGATGGTCCGCCTCAGTATCTCCAAACCTTGCCTAAAGAGACGGAATGCACCCAGAGGTTGTTCGTCATTCCAGCATCACGAGTACGCGAGTACAGGGAGAAACTCCGCACCCACTTCCCCAAGGATACCCCTCCCACTATGTGCAATGTCCTCGCAGCCCTAGTCTGGACTCATGTTACTCGCGCTAGAGCAGGCCGCTTGACCAAGTACGGGCTGGCGGAGACTAGCATCGGCATTGCGACGGACTTGCGCAGAAGACAGCACCCTCCCGTCCCCGCCGACTACATGGGGAACATGGCTTTGTTCTCGAGAGGCACGATGAAGGTCTCGGACTTGACAGCAGAGGACCGGTGAGTCTATTCCTTACTACTGTATCATTGCTGGTCGCACCTTGGTGCGCTCCAAACCTTGTAGTTCCAATGTCGAGCGACGCAATTAAGTTTGAGACAGCCAGCTGACAAATACCGGCAGTGTAACCAAGGCCACAATAGTCAACGTCATAAACACTATCAAGAGCACCATTCTCGATGTCGACGACGAATGGGTGAACCGCCACCTAACATTCTTCAAGTCGATCGAGGTGATTACCGACACCGAGGTCGCACTGGCTTTGACTTTTGGATCGGACATTTACATCTCGTCCTGGCTGAACTTCGGCGCTGATCTCAGCTGGGGGATACCTGGTACAGATCTGGACAAGGACTCCCTTGCCGGTCGACCCGAGTTCATCAGACGATCGTATGGTCCGGGTGATGGCGGCATGATCTTTCTCCCACGACGGAGACAGCTTGTGAACGAAAAAGAAGCGTCTTTCGAGATCCTTGTACGACTCGCCGACGAAGACATGACGCGTGTGTTAAACGAAGAAAGTGGGCTCAGCTGTTGGGCTGATGCCATAATTGAGTGAAGAATGTTTGCCATCATTCTCCTACTGGCGTGTTGATGACTACTCTTGGAAGGGGCTAAGTTGGTGCTCCGGTACACCAACTTATTGATGACGCTGACGGTATTTCGATTCGATATAATGGTGTTGAGCATAGCTATCGGTGTTTGTCTTTCGGTTTACGACTTGGGTTGGACATTTGATATCCTGTACAATTAGCTTGCATTGGATGGTTTTGCGGCACAAAAGGCGTTTTGTATTGTTCAGATGGGATTTTGAAGGCGATTGTTTTTTTCTACTTGCATTTCTCCGTGGATTTGCGTGTTACCACGAGTGCGTCAATCATCATTATGTTACACATCATCTCTTCGTACCGAACAGCTTCAATGTAGACATTCGTTCGTTGATCAAGGATGTTCTAGTCAACGTGCAGCATCACCAAACCACCGACATGACCCCGCATTTCGGGTCCACATGGCGACGCCCCGCATCGTTGCGCATTAAACGTCTCCGCCCCAACTCCTGCGGCCTCCGCCCACCACACATCCCCCGCGCATACCGAGGCATTGATGCAGCTTACATTTCCGCGTTATTGCCGATAGACTGACTCTCACGATGTGAGCTCTTCCAACGTGCTTAACGGCAAAACATTGTCGCTGAGCAGCACCCGCCCATCTCGCTTCGGACGGCCTGCACCCGACTCTGTTGGCCAACTCGAATCACGACCAGCGACCAATCGCATCATGGCAGACTTCACCGATCATCTCAAGCCCGCCTACGATGGCACAGCAAAACTCCAGGCCGAGCGCGACGGCTCGGGCATCAACGTTCGCCAACTCGCACAGCACCTTCTAGGCCGTGATGGCTTTCTGGAGCGACAAGATAAGGTACTCCGGGTTTTGAGCAAGGAGAAGCTTTTCAACAAGGATCAGCAGCTGAATCTTTCGCGCCCAGAGCGGTATCATCTAGGACTGGCGAGAGCAAAGGCCATCCAGAGGTTGATGCGACGAGAAGGATGGGACCTTGAAGACTATAAGATGGCGGAATACCTGACGGATGAGATGAGCCCATATCATCTGCATATGAACATGTTCGGTGAGTCAACGGAAGGCTGCAGCTGCTCTAGACGTCGTGCATAATCGTACCACTTGGGCGCGAAGAGCTGACAAGCACCGTATCGCACAGTCACAACGGTACGCGAGCAAGCCTCTGAAGAACAGCAGAAGTATTGGATGCCGAGAATCCTCAGCCACGACATCATTGGCTGCTATGCGCAAACTGAACTAGGCCATGGGAGCAACGTACGAGGTCTGGAGACTGTCGCGAAGTGGGACCCAATCAAGAAGGAATTCGAAATTCACAGTCCGACTTTGACGGCAAGCAAATGGTGGAATGGGTCGATGGGGAGGACCGCCACGCACGCAGTACGTCTTTAGCTCCACCCTGTGCCGCTAGCCAAAAACTTTGATTCTGCCTTGGGCGTTCGCTAATGCATGTCATACATAGATTGTAGTCGCACAATTGCTCTTGCCGAAACCACTATCCCCGTCCGACAGATCAAAAGTCTCCGATCGGCATGCTCAAGAGGTTGAATATACTTCGCACGGCCCACAAACTTTCGTTGTGCAAATTCGGGACGCGAAGACGCATCAACCTCTGCCGGGCATTGCTGTAGGCGACATCGGTCCGAAATACGGGTATGCGAGCATGGATAACGGGTACATGCTATTCGACCATTTCCACGTACCCAAGTCGGCTATGCTGAGCCGCTATGCTGAGGTCTCCGACGAGACCGGCGCGTTCGTTCGGAATGGCCATCCGGCTGTTGTATATGGGAGTCTTACATACGTACGCGGCCAGATCATAATGCATGCAAGGCTGGTCCTTGCACGTGCTGTCACTGTCGCCGTACGATACTGTGCTTTACGGCGGCAATTCAAGGACCGCGACTCCACTAATGCTTCTGATAGCGAAATGAAGGTCCTTGATTACCCCACAGTGCAGATACGCGTCTTGCCGTTGCTCGCGACTACTTTCGCGTTGCATTATACTGGCGAGTACATGTACATGTTGTACCACAAGTCGCGAGAGAACATCGAGAAGGGCGACTTTGGACCATTAGCTGAGCTACATAGTGCTAGTTCGGGGTTGAAGAGCCTGTGTACGATGCTCGCTGCGGACGGTATCGAGACTTGTCGGCGCGCGATGGGCGGTCATGGCTTCGGCGGTGGAAGCGGGCTAGTAGGGTTGAACGCCGACTATCTTTCCAAGCCAACGGTTGAGGGTGATAACTGGATGATTACGCAGCAAGTTGCGGCATATCTCATCAAGAAGATGGCGGACGCGGTCAAAGATCCTGGCTCCACGCCCAAGGATCCGACGGACAAGCTCTTCCAATACTATCTTCTAAACAAAGACCGTCACATACCCCAAAACGTCTCGAAAGACGGTGTGGTAGACGACCAAAACATAGTAGAGGTGTTCCAATGGCGCGCAGCTGATCTCTCTTATCGTGCCTACCAAGCACGCGTCGTCGAAAAGCGACCTTGGACCCGTCTCATGATCCAACTCCACAACCTCAGCCGCGCATATTCGGAGCAGATCCTCGTCACGAATTTCTATAATAGCTTCAGCTCCGTTAGTCCGCCCACGTCATCAGCACTGCGGACATGCTTCCAGCTCTACGCGCTCTACACCGTCGACCAATTCGCATCCTCGTTTATGATGACGGCCGCCGTTCCGCAAGAGTCCGTGTTCACTCTGCAAGATACGATTGTAGATCTCATGGCTGAGTTGAGACCGCATGCTGTGAAGCTCGTTGACGCTTGGTCGATACCAGATTGGTTGCTTAATAGCGCGTTGGGCAGGTATGATGGCAAAGTGTATGAGGAGTTATTCGATATGGCGCATCGGAGAAATCCGCTCAACGAGGTGACGTTCAATCCGGACTGGCGTAGCGAGGAGATTGTATTGGGGAGTGGGGACGGAGGTAGGCATGTTTTGGCGAAGCTTTAGTATGAATGTAGTTATGCCATCCATGTGGAGAACTAAACTCCAAAGCTTAGTATAAATGTATGCTAGGCGATGTGACGAAATACACATCTCGGCCCGAGTCGTCACTATCATCGACATCAAGCGCTGCAGGTCCGTTGGATGCGCACGGCATTGCCCTCTCTACCTGTCTGGTCCGCGAGCGGAAACCTGTCAAGTGTCAATGTGGATGAACGTGGAACTCGGGGTAGCGTGAAACGAACTTGACTAATGGCAGGCGAAAACCCCCTTTCCACTGCCGGCACCGGTGAAGGAAAAATTCTCATCCTCAAGTCCAAAGCTTGCTGGATCGTCATAGTAGGTGTGATCGGTCAAGGAGGTCTGCGTGGATTCTCCGCAATACATATTGTTTCTCAAACTCTAAATTCGCAAAGCGGTCCAGGTCATTTCACTAGTCGGCCGTTGAAAAGAGGGCCGATTAGCCAAGGTCACGAACACCCAATGACGATTTGCTGTCACTGTTTCAAGACCCCAAGTTCTGTAGCCGTTGTGAACAACATGGCATTTTTCCCTGCTAGGCGACCGTTGAAACATTGGCATCGCGTGTTTTTGAAGTCCGGGAGAGCATCGGGAGTTGTCTGTCGGCGCCATTCAGAAGCTCCGGATGTGGGCGGCCTGCATCGACCCTGCAGACTGCATACTAAGACTGGAGACCAGGACAGATAAGGAATGTCGCGCTTCAGGAGGAGCGAAGGAGTCTACACTAACATGTCGGCGTCTCTCCTGGATGCGCCTCCAAACACGCATGGAGTAAAACGACTCGTTTGGTGTTGCAGTACCGTCGCAGTCAGGGCGGAAGACGGGCGTTGGGCGCCAAGACACGACTAGTTTTCTGAGTCAGCAACAATTGGAGGCCTGTCGCTTGTGACGCAGTTATGCAGACTGCGGCACATCAACCCACTATGCAGCACCGTTTTCCCGAGCACCGGGCCTGACCCCATGCCCTTCGATCTCTGCCAGACAACCTTTATGGACCACCTTCCGCCAGTCATCGGGCGCTCCATTCCAAGCTCGTGAAAGCGTGGCCTAGGTTTCAGCCTGATCGCCGAGATTGCGCTACGCCAGTTCCGGCCCAGGACCCTTCGGATGACCACGCAGCACATACGAGGACCGGAGAAGGAGGCATAGTTATTATACTTGGTGTTCTTTGGTCCTGTACAATCAAACGAATGCATCTGTCTGCGCTAGTACCTGCTTCGTAGAGACTGTACCTGAGCCTGAACAGCAATTGCGGAGCTTGCCGCCGTCCGCCCGGCCGCCCGTCTTACCGCCTCATAAACCGCCATAACCTAAGCATGTCCTATCGAGGACGCCCCAGTAAGGGATGTGAGGCTTGCAGAGCCCGTAAAGTCAAGGTGCGTGTTCTCTTGAGTTGATATCATCGAACAGTGTCAGTAACCAGACCGGGCCATCCGCATCCAGCAGACTCTGGTCACGAGGACGAGGCTGATATCAAATTAGTGTGATGAGTCGAGACCAGCTTGCAGTCGATGCAGCAAGGCGGGTCATACATGCAAGTATCGAGATCAAGCCGACATCCTCTTCCGCAACCAAACAGCATCTGCTGCGCAGAGAGCTGAGGAATCATGGCGGAAGCGATCAAAGTCAAATCAACGCGCTGTCGTTGCCGAAAGTAGCAATACTTATATCAAAACCCCGCCAAGCGACGAATCGACACCACCTCATTTGGACGATCAACGCTCGTCCAGCGGCAGTGTGCATTCTCCCGGTGGATCCGTGGACGACCCTGCCCAAGATGCCTCAGGTGTTACCCCGCCAATAATCGATCTAAGCCGACTGACTATCACCCCGGTGGCTAACCCGGACTTTCGTAGAAGGGCCTTTGAGCGCTTTGTGTACGACTTTGTACTGCCCGATCAGCCGAACAGACCAGCGGACCAGCCGGATGAAGCACTTTGGACGTTTATACCGCTCTTGTATCAGAGTGCGCCAGAGGACTCGTTAATTGCAACAGCTGTTGACGCAGTCTCTTACGTAAATTATGCTAATAGATGTAACGACCCTCAGGCCCAGGCATTGGGTGAAGAATGCGTGGGAAGAGCCATTCCGATGTTGACGAAGACAATCGCGGATAAAAAGCAGTCAGCCACGAATATCGCTTTGGCCGCAGTGCATTTAATGGGAGTTTACGAAGTATGTTACTGATGGATCTATGATGTTTGTAAGCGCTAACGTGACGATGAGAATCTTACCAGCGTGCAACGGAAGGGCACGTTCATTGCCCACAACCATGGCGCAAATGCGCTGCTTCAGTTGCGAACTGTTGAGCAGTTCTACAGCGATCCCATATCAGCCAGACTTTACGAGGTCATCTACGCGCATCTGGTAATTACAGCTGAAGAGGAACGGTTTCCACCTGCCCAAGGCTAACGTTGTTACAGTTACTAGGTAATTTACAGACAGCCAAGCGCCCTGCCATACCGACAAGAGACGTGGTCAAGGTGGACGAGCTACTTCCAAGTCTATACAAGAACTCTAATGCTTTTGTAATTCGCCTGATCTGGAGAGAGGCGATGTTGCATGCTAGATGGCACGAAATGAAACAAAGTACGAATCCACCAACTAATCGTCTGGCCTTGCAAGAGCTTTTGCAGACCGCGCTAGAACTAGATGACGACTACCAAGCCTGGGAATCACAGATTACGCCTGCTTGGAACTACCATGCGACACCCAACACGCCAGAGGCCAGGTCGAACTATGATCCGAAATGGCAGAAGCTCTTCCTGGGATGTCGCGGCGCCCCGGAAGAGATACATTCTTACCCTAGCGTGAAACGCGCTTGGATCTGGGGCTTCTACCGTACAAGCCGTATACTTGTTCTGCGAGATCTACTCGAAATGTTGAATTGGATGCTAAGATTCCGGGAACGCGGTCGATCGGCCGCAACGCAAGGACAGACTGTACCCACCAATTTGAGCGATAGGAACCTCTTCATACATCACTCTGTTGCTACTGCACGTCTGGTCGAAGTGATCGAAGGAAACTGCTCAGCTATGATTGGTAGTCTTACCGTGCCGATACACATGAAGTCCATCGACGATGTGGTTGGTATGAGAGGATATGTTGATTTATGGCCACTGGGTACCATGGACGCTGTGCTTTGTTCAGGTCTTGTACCCGATAGTAATACAGGCAACTCTCCACAAGACACTAGTCAGATGCCAACACCGCCATCAGCCTACACGCACCAGTCCAACACACCACCACACCTAGTCTCCGCCACATCCAATTTATCGTCGTCAAGCGAACCTTCGGAAAATTTGGAGTCTTATGCGACAGCACCACAGTTTTCTGACCTTAACACCATCCGCTCGAGAAGTGGCCTGAGCGCCAGCCCCAGCCCACCGGCCAAAGTTCCAACATTTGATCCGAATGCAAAGAAAGATCACATCTTCGACCCGCACCCCGCACATCCTTACGACCGACCCCTTGATCTTCCGCCGCCGGACTTTGAGACAGTAATACCTAGGAGAATAGACGTTGCGGCGAGACGTGAGTGGATCAATCGCTTGCTATATTATTTCGCCACGGAACTAGGGTTGAAGAAGGCGCTATGGGTACCGGTGATGCAAGGATTCATGCCCATTGTGAAGCCAATGGTTGATGAGATTCTCAGCCAGGAAAGGCGTTTCTAAGATGGGGGACAGCGCATTCTTCGATGACGAGTAAGCAACAAGGGCATCCATGGGCGTTTTTACGATCTTCTCTTCTTTGCATCTGCTTTTGGAAATCCTAGGATTCTGATTGATGCCTTGGGAACACATTTGTTCGCGTACATATATATTTGGGACTGGATTTGCGTTGAGCATACACGAAGTTTACGGCTTGCATTTTTGGATTATGAGGACCTTGTTGAGTAAGAGAGGGCATTGTATTAGCTAAATAGTTTAGTCTAATCGCTAATGATGACAAGCTTTCGAGACTATGGATGACATTGTGTTTCTGGTAGTCTTGCCTTGGACTACGTATTCGCTGTCTACGTATTCTAGTCACCAGTACAAATTGGAATGACCAACTGTTCAACAGGGGTCGGTCTTCGGAAGCTCAAACACACGAACGTGGTACTCAAAACGACTGTCTCTCAGGTCCTGCAATTCTGAAAGATGTCGTGCCGTTTCCAACATGGAGGACGAAACTCTGTAGCTCAAGTGGACGGAGACACAATGGTTCATGTTGCTGCTCTGTCTGACGTGTCGAACGATACGACTGTTAGATACGGTCGCATTACAGAGTCTAATGCGAAAGCTTCGCCGCTTCTCCGGCTTCACAGCGAACTACGCAAGAAAATCCATTCATGTGTCCTGGCTGGTTGCCGGATGCCGCCCATCCAAGACATTGCGATGTAGATTGATCTTGAAACGCATCACTTGCCTGTATGGAGCTGTATACAGCTTCCACCTTTTACTACCGTTCGACATTAACAATGAGCTGATCTTCGTTACAACCATCTAGTTCTCCATGGTCGGGAAGATATCATCTCCCGACTACAGGTTCGTCCTTCCGACGTTGGCGATCATAGCGGCTGTTTCCTGTCAAAAAGTGGTTTCAATCCGACCATCTATGCTCTTGTTATGACACTGGAGGTCTGTATTATGTCAATCGGCTTCCTCAACCGGGAAGTTTCCCGCAATGATTTTGATAATGATATCCGCTTGCGAGCAGTGATTTTCACAACACTCGCCGCGCTCAAGGAAGGCATGTGTAACGAGAAGAGTTGGAACACCCGAGGAAACCAAGACAGCTGCAAGGAAAAGGCTCAAACATAAGGCCTTGGAAATTTCATCCTAGGTTAGAGACTCCCAGCAAAGACTAGACTCGCGCGCGCCAGAAGCTTTTGCCGAAAGCCTTGTGCCAATTCAGCAAAATGCTTCTACGTAGCTGAGAAAAAGAGCAACCCGAGAAAATAAACCTAATCTCAAGTTCCTGCTTGAGTAAAGCCAAGAGCTGAATACTAATCCTGATGGATGCCTGTTCTAGCTCCCAACGAGTGCCTATCCTAGCTTCTTCCGAGTTAGCGCCATGAAACAAGCACACTACATATCAACAGCATCGACAACCCATAACTTACAGCCAGATCTAAACGGAGGGAAATGAAGATGGAACCCTCATCTGCAGACATGCCATGCGACGGCACCATGTCAGAAATGTAAGCTGCCCATGTTTCAACCTTCCCACTGATCATGACTTACACCTCTCGTGCCAGCACTCACAGGAATCGTCTCGCATCACCCTTTCTCCGCCTACTAGCCGAGATCCGCAACACAATCTACACTTACGTCGGCACATGTACCTATGCTAGTGTTGACGTCTGGACACAAGACAGCGATGCGTACCAGCCAACTCTCAAAGTCAGATTCCGGCTTCCCGATTTACTCATGACGTGCAAGCAAATCCGACAACGAAGCAAAAGACACTCATTTGCAAGCTCATGACTGTCGACACCGACTTGGCTAGCTAGCGCTTTTGGTTGGCTTCAATTCAGAACTGCGACCACGAATTCTGTCGAGCTCATCACTTGCTTGAGGGTTCCGAGAGACTTTGCTGCATCTGTTGCAAGAGACGCGAGAGCTCACGCATCGAGATTCCGATATTATGGATCTTGTACTACCTTCTCCTTTCCTAGCTTGGACAAGATCATCGTTAAA